CCCCTAGTCCTTATTTGGAAATAATACATAATAACTTGACTGTCTTCACTGGTGTACTACATACCTAAATCACTGCCCTGCCTCCCCATATGATTTGAAATAGGATTTGGAATTGGTCTCTTTTGGAATCTGTCCCTCCAGAATCTATGGACTTGCACTTGCACTTGTCCTCGTCCTGCAGAGTGAACTGAACCAAGAGGAGGCCCACAAATGTTCCCTGGTTGTGCAGCTGGCAACCTTTTCCACACAAGATGGACTCCTCACACCTTCCTATTTTGAAATGTACAGGATTCACGGAAGCCTTGGGCTGTTCTTTGCAGGCATGGTGCACCCAGGATTCAGCATTTCTGGACCAATTTCACTTCCATTTTAGATATGTGGCTAACTTGGCTGAATGGCTACAATTCTTTCAGAACTCTAAAGCCTAGAAACAGACCTGTATATCATGAGATTCAGGTGCCTCTCACCACTAATTTTGAGGGAATTTAATTAATCCAAACTTACTAATATTCACATCCCCTTTCATGTTAAGAATTCTGCTATTCATGAGAAATAACATTGCAACTGTGGTTTTCTTTAAAAAGTGAGTAAGACATTAATGTGCCCTATAGCATGGGAAACACAAGGTCATTTGAAGAAAGTAGGTGTTACATTTTATTGTAGGTGTATAAAAACATTGTCTTCATTATGTGCTCCTTTAATTTTCTTTCAAGGAATCATGAAAACTCCTTTGGGAGTAACAAGTCTGTGAGCTATATATAGGGACCTTCTAAATGTAGATCAAAATCTGTAATGAGGGGTCTTTGCTGGTGATATCTGCTTCGGTTTTGTTTTGTTTTGGTATTTTTTCTTGTCTGACTTAGTCATGGGATCTGAACAGAATGATACTGATATTTTTCCCTTTCGGGTGATAAGAACCTGATTTGCTACAGTTAAGTGTATAGATTGTGCCTCTAGAAGAAAGAGAATGGAGTGTCTCGGGTTTGTGTACCTTCTGGGCCTGATGATCTTATGCTGCGTCAGGAAATGCAGCTCCCAGCAAGTTTAGTGGCATAGATAAATCACTTCTCTCTCTTTCTCAGCTTGCAATGTGTTTTGAGGAGCCTTGAAGCTAAGCTGTTTCAGCTAAGAGGAAGCGCCTATTACAGATTTAAACTTACAAACTGAAAGTTTTGACAGAGTGTTTATGCTGGATAGCACAATTAGGGACAAAGGTAATTTCTGGAAGGACATAATGTACTTTTCTTGTTCCTCTTTGCCACTCCCACAGGCAGATTCTCACCAAAGAAGGGTCTATTTTCATTTGACAAATGTAGGACAACTTTTAACAAGAAAAGATTAATCTTGAAGAGAGAAATCTTTATGTGATGTCTTGCTGTAGTGCTTGTGCTCCCTGTGGTTGGATTTTTGTCTCCCTGTGTTTGTGTGTGTGTGCACATGCACAAGAGAGGGAGAGAGGATTTTGACTCTAACATATAAACAATAATTTCTGTCTTCCAGTATTGCAGAATGTACCTCTCTAATCCTTTTGGTATTTTGTAGCAGGATTACATTTAATCAAATTGAGTCTTAGTGCTTTGTCTGTTTAAGCAGTACTTATGAACATCTGAGTTCTGTGTCTGGGATTCATGTAGAAAGTTTGGAGGATAAACTGATTTTTAAGTGAAAGCCTTCTTTAGAATTTAGGGTAATGGAGTACTTCTTGTTTTATTCTACCAATCACATTGATAAATATATACATTAAATCAACATTAAAATCTAGATGTGCATCCAGAATAGGGATAAGTAGCTGAATCACATCCTGTTGAAAACTGCAGTGTAGAGAAAACACATCTGTATTCAGGAAACTCTGCTTCTAATCTAGCAAAGATACACTTGCAAAACCTGGCTTCTCTGGCTGATTTTTTAAAATTTGTGTTGGATGTGCATATGGCTCAGGTGTGGGAGTTCAGCTCAAGTGGAGGGGCTGAAACAAGGTTGTCCAGACTGGACCTTATGGAGCTGACTCCGGAATGTGCCGGGCTTTTGCCAAGAGGCCAGGTGGAATAGGTAATAAAGTTTAAAAGTGTTTTTTGTGGAAAAGAGTGCTAGAGGCAGGGGAACTCTTTCCTCCTTCAGTGGAACTACTGCAACCTTTATCAACTCCTGGAGTGGCTTTCTGGCAGTTATCTTCTTCTTCACCAGTTGTCCTGGCTCTAAGTGCAGGTCAAGCAGACCCCTGACACTGGGTTGCTCTCTTGTGGTTTTGTTCAGAAAAAAGCTGTCCAGAAATGGTTGGACACCCTATTCTTTAAACTCACTCAAGAAGGAAGAATGGAAGAAAGATCCTAAAAAAGATCCTAAGCAATTCAGAGAAGGCTCTCTGAAACACCACCACCACTTTTTGACACTTCTATACCACCTGTTGTCTCAGTGCCTATTCTAGAACCAACATTGTTGGTTTCAACTTGAGAGAAGGATGTTGGGGACCCCATTCCTCCTTGAGCTTATGATGATTGACAGCTCTCCATGGTTTCTCTGATTCCATACTGATGTGGAGAACACTTTTTCAGATCATTTCAGTACCAAGAGACTGAGCATGACTGGTATCAATACTGTGAAAGATGACACTTTCTTCTTGGAATGGACACTGCCTCCCTGTACCTCATATTGGTGAGGTGCGATAACTGATGTTTTTCAGTCAGACTGTGACTAGTTCAGCATGGGTTCACAAGTTGTTATTCTGTGCTCTCCAAACTTTAGTCAACCCTTGGATACAGTGGTGTTCTTCCAACCACATGCCTCCTCTCTCCTTTGGTTCTAAAAGCACAAGTGGTGCAGGAGCAACTCCCCTGCTCCTCACGCATTGGTACCAGTATCAGCTCTGAGAGAGATCTGATGGAACCCCCACAATCAGTGGATGAAGACCATCAGTCTTACGCCTTCAGCAGGCTCCTCAGTTCCCTCTCTGTATGAGATGATCAGGAATAAGAACTCCCATTGCCCCTTCAACCAGCACAGGCCATTTCACTGATCAAATCCCGTGTGTGGAGCAGGCTGTAGTCCTCGAGACACAGCATTTGGCAGTGAGGCTAGAGGACCCTTTCTTTGATGCAGCCCTGTCAGAGGCCTCAACTCCTGCTCTACATTTTCTAACCACATTGTTCCAGACAATCTTGGAAGGCACTGGCTTTTATGCTGCCAACATCACAGAGACTGGAGCATATTATAGAACATGGGTCCTCAAACTACGGCCTGTGGGCCGGAACTGGCCCACCATGCTGATCTATCCGGCCTGCCTCAGAGCTTGTGGACTCGCTTGGAGAAAACGATCTTTGAGCGAGTCCAAAGGTTCTCAGCCAGCACAGGTGTACTCAGTGGGGAAATAGCCGTGATCGTGGTTGTGCTTGTGCAGGGAAGACGGGCGTGATTGTGGTCATGCTTGCGGGGGAGATGGCTGCGGTTGTGCTGGGGGGGAGATGGCCACAATTGCGCCTGCCTCCCCTCCCCCCAGCATGGCTGCGGACATTGTAGCTCTGTCCCCTGAATATGGACATGCTCCTCCCCACCTCATCTTGGGCTTCTGCTGCAGCTCAAGTGAGCAGAGCAAACATTTTTTTAATTTTTAATTATTTTAAAATTTTAATTAAATTTTAATTAATTTTTAAAGTGCAGTGTGCATAGGAATTCATATTTTTTTCAAACTATAGTGTGGCTCCTCAACAGTCTGAAGGACTGTGAACTGGCCCCCTGTATAAAAGTTTGAGGACCCCTGTTGTAGAGAGTGGGCCTGTCTCTCATTTATTACAGGCTATTCCTATAGATTCATCTGATTCTGGGGAGGAGGAATTTGAACTTGCAAACATCCTGCAGTTGTGTGTACATTACAGCCATTTGTGATATTTCATAGAATCATAGAAAAGTAGAGTTGGGAGGAGCCAGAAGGCCATCAGGTCCAGCCCCCTGCTCAGTGCACACCTCTCCGTTTCATGATGAATGGAGAAGCTGGGGGAAAGTAAAGGTTGGGGCAGGGTGAGGTGAGGCAGGGGTGATGTAGAGAGTGGGCCAGTCTCTTGCCATTACAGACAGTTCAGATAATTTTATCTGACTTGAGAAGTTTCCCGTTTACTTAATGAAGTTTCTCAGGCAGCGTATCCTTCGGAAGGGGCAGAACAGAAACACCTCTCCTCCATTCCAGACTGAAAAGAGCACACCACACCTTTTGTGAGTGAGTCCTCCTGTTTCATGGCCAGTTGCCTGGAGCATCTAGGGCTTCTCGGCTGGGCTGTCCCCTTACTCTGATGCTGTATCTTCTGTCTAATGACATGAGGGCCACACCCCTCAATCTCAGGCTGCTCCCTAACCTTTCCCATTGGACTAGAAGCTGTCTGGTTCTCAGTAGCTGCCTTGGCATTTCTCTGCAGATTCTGTGCCGTTTCTGAAGCAAGCCTTATATCCGCAGCCTTTAAAGGCCTTTTTATAGGAAAAGTGAGCCCAATTGATACATAAGCCAACCCAAATTACAGTGTGAAGTTGTCTTGACTGCTGCCTAAATTAAAGTGTTACAGATGGATTATCTGTTTTATGATTATTCCCTCAGTAGTAATGAAGACTGCAAAACTTTTCACATGATGCATGTGGTGTAGTTAGTATTTTCCATATTTTAACTTGGTCAGAGTTTTGGTGGCTTTAATTTCTGCATATATATAAAAGGGAGAACGGTGGCAAAGTACTACTGTTTTACCATTGTGGCAGTTTGAAGAAGCTGTATCTGCCCTAATTTTGGCTAATGCAGAAAAATAGTGACACATAATATGAAGTCCTGGAAGTTGTAATGGCGTGTGTTTAAAATAGCTGAAAGCAATGATTGTTGGCATGTTATCTGGGTATTTAATACTGACTATACTGTTGTGAAGTCAGCTATAACAATATGCTGCTACATGCAGAACCATGTATATTTTGATTTTAGTTTTCAAACTGTTTAAAGTTTAACTCCTCCCCCCCCCCCTTTTTTTTGGTAGGCTGAAGCAAGGCTTGCTGCAAAGCGTGCAGCTCGAGCTGAGGCACGAGAAATCCGAATGAAGGAACTAGAAAGGCAGCAAAAAGAGGTAAATTAAGAACATTTAAGTGTGTTTGTGTTGTCTTGTCTCTTGCACCTGAAAGTCTCTGTTCACTTAAGAAGTTTTGGCAATAAAAAGTAGAAACAGTCTTTTAGGAGCTGTGCTTAGCAGTGATTTTTCCCTTCCAGACTTCTCTGAGCTTCCATTAGTTGTGCTAAGCACAATAAAATCTCCATGTGTCATTAAATTCCTATAACAGTCTTCTGTTTACATAATGAGTTAGCTTTGCCTTCACTGCATATTCTGCTAAACTGTTTCTCCATTCTTCAATGGTTGGGGGCTCCAATGATTTCCATTTAGAAGCTTTTGTGATTCTTGATGCAGTTGACATACACTTAAATAGCTTTGACATGTTTTTTAAAATGGTCTCTGGAATGATGTTCAAAAGCATGTTCTTGGAAATCATAGGAAGCTTAATTTTAAAGATTTTCTGCATTTCTGCATGTATCAATTTCCAGAATTTTTGTATTATTTCGCAACTCCACCGCATATGATAGAAGGTCTCATCTACCCTGTTACATTTGCAACAGTTTACATTATAATTCTTATCTATTTTCCCAATATCTTTTGGAGTAATGTACCACTGATAAAAATTACCAATTTTCTCTTACTGCTTGACTAGCAGTGAATTTAATATCTTTCTTCCAAAGAGCTTCCCACTGGCCAGATGGTATTTCTTCACCAAGATTCTGTTTCGAGATTGTCATGCGTTTCTTATCTTGATGACTTTCAGTATCATAATGTAATAGCAGTTTGTAAAGTCTTCCCAGTAAGAGATCATTCTGCTGTGCAATCAACGTTTCAAAATCTGTCAGATCTCTTAAAATGTCTTCCCCTGGTTGTGTTTCCTCCTTCAGTCTTGAAATCAGTTGATGGTAAACAAGCCATTGTATATTTTTCCCTCCCATCTTTCAGCTGTTGCCAAGATTTAATTTATCCTGACTGGTCAATAACAGCTCAATAAGTTATAAGATTGTTATTTCTCCTTGAGTGTTTTCCATATGCTTCAACTGGGGACATGGGAGAGGGGATTGGAGGACCAATTTTTTTCCTCATGGAATACCAAATTTTTATTAAACTACCTTTTAGCACATGGTTGTTACTTAGGAACAGAACCTTCTTAATAAAAGATTATGTATTCCTTCTTCAAGATCAGCTAGTTCCAACGTCACTCACCTATCATTAGCTCATCATACGTATTTTGTTTTTTCTCAGTGGGCAATATTTGGCAAATATGCTCTTTTAAGACTTTCTAGAGCAAAAGAATAATTCACTTGTTGAAGAGTCTTTTTGCAGTAGCTATTGCCTCTGATAGAACTTTGTTGTTAGTCGCAAAGTCGTGTCTGACCCATCACGACCCCATGGACAGCATTCCTCCAGGCTCTCCTGTCCTCCACCTCCCTCGAGTTCACCAAAGCTCACACCCTCTGCCCCAGTGACTCCATCTAGCCACCTCAACCTCTTCTGTCCCCTTATTGTTTTGCTTTCAACTGCTGAGTAGAACACTCCTTTGTAATTCAGTCAGAAGGTTTACATGTCTGGCAGATTAATGATGTCCTCCTGCTGTGCCAATTGAGTAATAAGATTTCCTAAACAGCATTAGAACAAACCGCAGTAAATAAATAACATGATCCAAGCTGTGAAAGTATTCATGAATGTAATACAGGCATATGATTTTGGGTGGACAGATGCTTTAGCCTCTCATTTTCTGTTTTCACAGTGCTTTTCCAGTGTCTCCACTATCCTGACCTGTTTTTTTTAAAGAAATTACTAAGTTTAATTATTTGTACCAATAACAAATAGACTAAAATGAATGATAAAATTATTTCTTCCAAACAGAAGTTTACAACCTGTATATATTGATAAATCTTGATTATCACAATAGAAGCATGATGAACTAAAAATGAAGAAATACATGTAATAACTAAAATAATAGTTGGAATCTTAACAGTGCCTAGATTAATGGAACCCTATCAACAATGGGAAATGTTTAGAAGAGGTTCCTTCTTAAATCTTTTAATTTAAAGAAATATTTTATCTTAGTTTTGTCAGAGCTAAGGCTGAGTATAAAAACTAGTTCTAGTGGACAGCCAGATTCTTTGTGGAGTCAGCTCAAAGAAATGACATCAGGATTATTGGCCCAGCCATTGTTTTATAACCAAAGGCACAAACTCAGAAATGTTGCAGTGTAATTTTAGTGCCTAAATACCAGCCAGCTTAGAACAGGAGCCATATTGCATTATTTGTGGCTTGCATAACTGGGAAAGGAAAATGGCTTGAGTAAACTTTTGAGTAGGAGATTTCCCTGTGCTAGACTGCTTCACATTTTTATATTAACAGTGAGACCTGCACTTGGGGAATGTTCCTATACACTCAGGTAACAGTCTGGACTACCAATGTCTTTCCCATACCTTTCTGGCTGGTTTATCTTCTCCAGGCATAGGAAAGGTAGAAGTCTGTTCAGCTAACCTCCAGATAGGTTTTCTGTAATGCACTCTATATGACATTGCCTTTGAAGACATTAACTAGTCAACGCAGCAGATCAGCTGTTTGCTGTTACCAGTCATGGGCCAGATTGGCTTCCAGTACATTTCTGGACAGAATTCAAAGCTCTGGCCCTTAACGGTATATGGGGCTTAGGGAGCCCCTGTACTATATTCAATATCTCTGTGGGTAAATCATTTGATCAGTTTTGTTTTGGGGGGTTTGACTCTTTGACCTGCAAAGTTTGAGCTCTTGAAGGAACTGGGACTGGGGCTTTTTCTGTAATATATTTCCTGTTGAATTTACTTCAGAGATATAGTGCAGCTATGGCTGGTTGAACTATTTTCATCTTAAGAAGTTGTACGTATATGTTGGCTGATAACTGTTATTAGATGTGTATTTGTTTTGTGTTCTGTGCTTAAATTGTGTTTATATACATTGATGAAATTTATAGTAGTACTTCTAGGATGCAAGATGGATTAAAAATCAAATATTCAGATTCAGTTTAGTGTTAGTGGTGAAATTAATAAGGAATAAGGAGTATTAAATAATGAATAAGAGGTGAAATAAACATACAACAGTGTTTGCTTTTTAAGGGATGACGTATGTTTGCCTGTTAGTTTTTATGTATTGTACCATGAGCTGAAGTGTTTGAAAAAGGCTTGACACACCTGTGAGTCAAGTAGATGGCTAAAGTAACCAATTGCATTTTTAATTTATTTAAAGATTATATTATAGGCTTTTCTGTTTCCTGTCAAATTATTTTAAAACTGACAACTGAAATTGAATTAAGTTGCTGACAGTATTGATGTAATTTCTGTTCACAGCGCTGTCTGATGTCATCCAGTTATTTTATTGTCATTTAGTTATACTTTCCTAAATTATTTTAAGCTGTTTAATAATTTTCTGTTCCACAAAAGTATATTTCATACTTGAAAACTTTGCAAACCTATGTAAGCTTTATTTTTATCTTTAATATAAATATGGATTTCAACCTTCTACCTAGCAACCTAAAATTGGCTTTCAGGACCTCACAACTACATTTCTACATTGGTACCAACATGGACCACAACCACAGACTCTACCCCCACAGACTCTACCCTCTAGAAGGGCATCCAGGGGGTGTATGATTTCTGCAACCTCCACACCTGGCAAGCAATTCATAAAGCAGTTCAAGATCCATTACTTCCTGTGTTCCTAATGATCAAATCTCCCACTCCTAGAAATTCCCCAACCATTGCAGGGATATCTTCTGTGCAAAGGAATACATGCTCACCTTCCAGGGAATGGGTCCTTTTTAAGGGATCATTTCTCTCTGTCTCAGAATGATGCCCTTCTTCCCAAGACCTCTTTCCTCATGTCCACAGGAGAGCTGTCATTCAGGAGTTGGGACCCTGCTAGTTGTCCTTGGGGGTCCCATCATCCAGTCTGTCTACCTCTCTTTGCTTCTCCAGGTCAGCAGCCTTGGTTTTAAGAGAATAAATATGTTCCCCTGAGACCAAGGAGCAAATTACACCAAGCACACACCCATGACATCTGTCCACTAGGTGTACACTGGATATCTCCCACACCCCTGCTGGTTTTCTAAAGGATCAGGTTTGCAGTTTGGAGGTGTTCCTAGATCCAGCAATGTCACTAAAGGCACTGGTAGATTCAGTAGCACAGATCACTTTTTATGAGCTTAGACTGATATTGACAGAATGTCAGTTTTCAATTTGTGAGGAGAAAATAAAAACTTGGATTTGTGGGAAAGATCAAACATTTGAACCTCTGCTGCTTTATTAACATAAGCCCAGGTCCCCAGCAGGTTCTACTCATGATAATGCATTACCTGGCAGGGGTAGACTCAACTGTGAGATTTCAATAAAAGTACAGAGCATTTCATACTCTCCCGGTCACATACACAGGTCAGAGCAATTGATGACAGAATTCAGACATTACAATGAAATTCTGAGGTCATCATATACAGAACACACAAGGATGATCAGCCAGACATACAAGTGACAATATTTCTAATTGCAGTGTATGGACATTTCAGATGAGTAAATTCCAGAAACTTGAACCCATCTCTGGGTCTGCTTAGACATGTAAATTCTGGCTATTAAGAAATCTTTCCCGAAATCATAAGCCCATGTGCTACATTCCATTATCAGGAAGGCTGAGACCCTGGGTAATGCATCTGCACCATTCTGATTGACTAGGGTGCACTGAGTGCTCTGGGCTAGCAAAATAGATACTTCCTGGTAAACTGTGAATTCCTGCAGGGGCTGAGCAGCAACATTGTTGTGGTGATTGTGTATTCTGCAGAATGGCCTGTCTTCTCTGGCTTACAGCAAGAAGAGCGGGAGAAGGGAGGGGGGAGGAGTGCCATTTTAAATCATTGACTTGGCTTGGAAAGCCAATGCTTTTGAAAAAGAGTGGAGATTTGATTTTATAACACAAGAGCACACATAAGCAACATTTTCTGCTAGGAATTATCCAGATTTTCCCAACAATATACCAACTATGCCCTTATCTGGACAGGGATGGCATAGGCTGCAATTAAGCATATATTTGTAACCTCTTGGTTGGATTACAGCAATGTATTATACATTGGGCTGCCTTTGAAAATGGTCCTGAAACTTCAGTTAGTTCAAAAAAGGAGACAAGATTGTTTTGTGGAACTGGCTGGTGTAATCATGGTCAGTACTTGACCATAGGAACTGGTTGCTAGACCAAGTCTGGCTGCATTCAAAATGCTGGTATTAGCATTCAGAGCCCTTGACGGTTTGGGAACAGGTTACCTCAAGGATTGTCTCAACTTGTATATGGCTGCCTAGACCCCAAGATCATCTTTGATCTTCTGATCAGTCTTTCTGAGGGAGGCCTGCAGGGGAAGCCAGTTGAACATGCTGTCCTAGTTAAGACCGTGTACATGGGCATCTGGAATAGCAGATGGGAGACGCACAAAACATCATCTAAATTGTCTTAGGGAGTTGCCTTCAATCTGTGGTAAAAGTTTTCAGAGCTAAATTAGTTGGTTCCTGCTCCTGTGTCCTTCCATGAAGACATGTGCTCAGTGATAGGATTGCACAACCGTTAAATATCCAGTAGAATATAGAATATCCTGTTCTACAACTGATTAGAGGGAGAAAATTTTGTCTGTATATATTAAGTAGTAGAACTGGTCGTTTTAGTTAAACACAAGTTCCTTTTGATAGGGTTGGGCAGAGGACAGTATTATAAAACATGGACAAACATTTCAACTTCTTAGCACATAGCACAACACTCTTTTGTATTCATGGTAATAAATTTTACAGCTAGTGGCTGACTTTGGCTGTGACTTACTTTGCAACGAAGGAATCGGAAAGTCAGTTTTGTTCTTATCACCACTTTCGAGCTGCTCCACTCATCCAATGTGCATGAAGCCACATGGAGTTATGCCAGAATTAAAAATAACTCAGGCTCATCTCACATGCTTTACCGTCTACCTGTCCTGATACATAGGAGATCAGGACAGAAATAGGCAAAGCTGGATTGTGATCCAGAGTTTCCTGTGCTGTCCCAAAGGACTCTGAGGTGCACTTTGCATAAATCAGCTGGTTGGCTTGAACACTGACACTTCCTTGTTGCTTTTGTTGCTATTATTCTCCACAAAATAAAACTGAAACTTTTTGCTGAGGAACCATATCAGTCAGGGCAAAAGAAGCACATGGGACTACTGACCAGCATTTCCAGCTCAGCTGGCTACCACATACAAAGAGATAACTCACCCCACTGTCCTCAGCAACTTGTGTGAAGGGGCACATTCCAACTTTATATCCCCTCTTTGTCAGTTGTTTTCCTCTTCCAAAGCTTCATCACTGACTGAGGAGTGAGTGATGCACAGTGGAGGCAGTGCTAGTGTTGAATAAATGGCATTCATCAAAGGACTAGATTTCACTCCTACACAAATAGTTGTTCAGCCTGATTTTGATATTGTTGCAAACTGATGTGCCCTAACTACTTAATACTATACAGGTCTGTTCTGTGTTCTAAAATACACCACCACAATAAATTTGGAGATTTCTCTTTAGAGCAGATTGTGGGTTTGTCCTCAATGTAAAACATCCCTTTTGCATGGAAAGAAATGGAAAGTTTCCACGCTGTCCAGGGCACTTAAACTTTTGTTTATTCTACTAGAGCCCTTACCTACTGGAGGAATTTTCTGTAAATATGCTTGAGTATATGATTTTAGGACTCTGTTAGCCATCTCAGTTAGAAAAGCTCAAAGACTGATATATAGCATGGGAAATACATTCAACAAGATGTTGTACACTGATGTATGGATTGGCATGCTTTAAATATAAGTATGTTGTCAATGGAGGAGCTGTTTAGACAGACAAATGCCTTTTTGTCATTTAGTTTGGATAGTCAGAAAGTGAGAGGCTACTTTCTTGCTCCCTTTTATCCTGAAATGCTCTGCAGAAGACAGAACATCTGATTCTTTTAAAAAGAGGAAGGGAAAGAAGCTCCATATTGTATTTAAAAGTTGAGATGATAATTTGCTTGGAGATCAGAACAATACATAGAATCACTTTAAGGAATGTATTATTTGTTTGGATTTTTTTTTTTTTTGGATTTATATACTACTCCATATTCCAGTATGGAGATTACATATCTACGGTCAATAAAGATAAAACAAATGGAATAGAACAATACAGTTTAAAGATCTTTTTTATCTCTTATTGTCAGCGAAAAGGCTGATAATGCTAGGTCCATCCTGCTGATTAATACAGCTTTACAAATCTACATGTACTTAGTGGCACTTTTCTTCTTAATATGATAATCATTAACAATAGTTTTCAAAACATGACTATGTTGATGAATGCAGTGAAAGTTGGGTAGGAAGTCATGTTCATGTTTTGTGGAAATTCCCACTTCAACCATCATAAACATACAGCTGATGGCTAAATCAGTGAAGCTCTAGAATCAGTTCCTCTCTAAATTACTATGGCAGCTCCTAAAGAACTGGAAGACTAGGACTTTGCTGAATTCTCCGGTGGGATCTTAACATATGCAAGAGTCATTCTAAGTCCCTTTCACTAAACTCTGCCCAAAGTAAGGTATCTGTACTGATTTTCTTCTGCATTTATGTCTTGCATTTTTTGGTAAATAAAATGCCATTGAAATGTGGTTTATTTCTGCTTTCTCATGTACTTCTGTATTGGAATAGCTGTCCTTCATGTACTGTATCCGCTAAACACTCTTTCTTGCCTTCACATGTTCTTTCTTTTCTTTGCCCACTGTAGATCTATCAAGTTCAAAAGGTAGGGTTTGCTTGGCTTACTGTGTGATTGCATGCAGTTTTTCTCTTGCATCAGAGTCTTGATAGCACTTGGCAAATAAATCCACTGAAATATGTGAGGAATGTAACAGGTTTTACTTGGAAATTATGCTGCTTTCACTCATTGCTAAGCTGGGTAAAATTCTGCTCCTGACTTCCTATTGACCAAGAAGAGTGAGCTTGATCTCCATGTGGCTTATTGAAGTAGCAGCTTCTCCCATGACCTGATTGATTGCAAAAGTACCAAACAAGAAACATGCTACTGGAGGAAGCAGTATCCAGCACAGCACAAGTACAGCAGTTGCTCTTTTTGACTGTCACTTGTGCTGATTCTGCTGGTCTCTGATTTTTCATTCGGGTGTACAGGGACTAGCATGGGAACTGGAAAAGTATCTGAGTAACTAGAGGGTGTCAGCATGCCTGAAACTCTCAACACCTGCTACCTCAAACACATAATTGCAACTATCACACAATGCCTTTGTGTGGGGGGCTTACCCACACAAAGTGATACAGTCCTTAACAGTGTTGAAGTTTTATATATACCCCTTCAAGGTACATAATTGTAATGAAAGAGATGGAATCCAAAATATCTTCATTGGTAAACCTGCTATACTTCATATTTCATAGTTCACAGAGAATTCTGGCAATCAGGCTCCTTTTCTTAGGATGACTTTTTTGCATGTTTTCCCTGCTTACTAATGCTTCTTGAAAGTGATAGAATGGCAGTGCAGATTACGCTGTTTCAGTGGGCTTGGATGCATTTTTTGCTTAGCTGCTTTAGTGCTGAGCTATGTACAGGAAGTACCTTTTCAGAGACTTGGAGGAGATATTCTTTTTGGTTTGCATGGCAGACTAGGCACTCATGATGCAACAGCCTCAATGGGTTAATTAAGCTATGTGGATCTCTTGTGTTGTGTTTGCTATTTCAAGAAAACTCCCTTTAAAAAGTAGACCATATTTCTTTGAACAGCTTGGATTCATCTCCACCACATTCAATAACAAGTTATCTCAAATTGCCTTCTGGCCTAGTTACTTTCACCTCTCTGTTGAACTGAGTGCAACTTTAACAAAATCCTACTATTAGAAACTGTGAAACAAAGTCAGCAAGACTTCAGCCCTTGTGTTGTTTCTCTTTCATCCCATCCCCATTATGTTCACACTGTTATCAGGCTATTGATGCTGGATTATGCTAGCTGTCAGGGTGAAGTCATTTTCATTATTTTACAGCCATAAAGAGAACTTTGCAAAATTCACACAGTGCATGTAGTTTGTTGAATTTATTTTCCTCTTACTAGTTGATCAGAAGTTCAGTATTATTTTTTTCTGACAGATGTGCAAACAAGAATGTAACTATTTCCATTTGCATGCATATCTTGTTAGAGAAAAGGATGTACTCACATACAAGAAGAGACTATTAATGCAAAAGCTGATGGAATGTGATGTGATTTGATCACTGTCAGATGTGATGCTGTATCAAATAATGTGCTAATATCAGGATATCTCAACAGTAGTTTTAATAAAATACTGAATTAACAGTGTCCTAGTGCCATTTCAACTTTACATCCATATAAGGATAAACTATAAATGAATAGAATTTTTTTTAAAAAAACCTTTGTACATTTTAAGTTTTGTGTTTGCTGACTAAAATATGAATGGTGCTTTGGTAAATCTTATAGAAGAAAATGTTTCTGTTAATATATTTCTATCTTTTAGTTAGGAAAAATATCACAAAAACAGTGGTCTGTAGTATACTACTTCATAATGGAATTTTGTTAAGTTTTTTAAGCCTATTTAGAGATTGTATTCTTTTGCAAAATTTGGGCTTCATGTACTGCTTAAATGGTAAGCAGTATTCCACTGTTAAGTTAAGGCTGATTTTGTCCATGTAAAAAAATAAATAAAATGGAATTATGGTCAGTTGGTGAAAATAACAAATATATATTAAGGGTGACTGCATCTTTGTCTTTAAAAAGCAAGCATGGCTACTATGCAGCATCAATTGCAAAGTAATACCCAGGCATATTTTATTACATTTCCGTAAGCCAATGGGGTCTGGAGTTAGAAGTGTGTCAGGAAGAAGTAAAAACTGCTTACATAGTGGAGATAATTAAGTATATAAGTAGCACTGATACCTTCATTCTCTGGCTAAACATTGAACCTGTAAATGTCTCATCTTAAATATTAGAGCACTGTTGCTGCTGTATTCACCTGTCATGGAGTTACTTGTTTTGTACTTAACCATACCTATTATTCATGACCCTAATCTAGTTTGAGGAATTATACAGCAAGCTCTAGCAAACATATGCATATGATATGGAAATAGTTTTTTAGCTGGCTGTTCCCTTCATTTGTAAGAGTCATAATTGATTGCTTCCATTTCATTCCTCACTTGCTCCTGAACCATCTATTAAGCACAACGATCCATTCAAACCATCACTTCAGCCTACCATGGCTTGAATATCCAAGCCGCAATTTGTGGTGGTTTCTGAACCTGGACAGCACGGATTGAGTCAGGCTTGTTGAGCCTTTGCACAACTGGTGCTGCCTGGGCTCAGATGACAAAAAGCTGCAAATGTAACTTGGATATTCAGAATGGCTGCTGGCATGTACTGAAGCCCACCATCATTTAAATAAGCTATAATGGCTTGTTTGATTATACATACTGTCCCCATTGATGCCACTGTTGCTTCTTAAGAATTCCTTTATGATTGAACTGCATGGAGCTTCAGGCCAATCATATCATTCTCTGCTTCTTTTTCTTGGCATGTTATGCCCCCAAATTCTCAGAAAACTGGTAGACTGTCTGTAAACAGCACTGCCACTCTGTTCAGTGAAGTTTGTTTGTGAAAAGCAGTTTATACCTCAGTGGCTTAAAAAGATATCAAGCATGTGCTGTGGCTTGCAGCTTTGCATGAGCATGTTTGCCTGATCCTTAGTTTATGTGTGAGAGAATATAGTGCTATTGAGATTACTGGTAATGCAGGAGTGGGCAACATATGTCTTGTTGGTGATACACAGCTTTTGATCTGCCTCATCTTTCTACTGTTCTTTTTTTGGAGGTCACCTTCTTCTAGACTAAAAGGATTCAAATGTGCAGAAAAAAAATCAGTTATACTCCTTTTGGGACTTAAGTTTTTTCAGAGAGTCATAAGGGACCCCTTTCCCCATGAAAAATATAGAAATATATAGAAAATTGTGTTGCATATTGTAAAGTGCTCCAGGGCTTCCAGCTGTGCTGTATGATTGCCACACATCTGCTCCCTACAAGCACCTCCAGGTGTGTTCCTGTTTCTACAGGCACTTGCAGGGTGGATCAGGCTCCAATCCTGACAACTGTTACCCTTTTGTGTATGTCTTGAACCATCTGTTTGTATATCTCCTCATTCTGTGTGCTTCACGTATTTGACTTACTGATTAACTCAGCCTCCTCAATATTTTCTTGTGCCCATTTTTTAAAATTGTTGTGACATCCTACTCTTGAAATTTCCTTCTTCTCAATTTTTGTGTTGCTGTTTTTGTCTAAAAGACCAGAAATGTGTCTTTTTTATCCTTTTTTCTAGCTGTAATCTCGGGCTTTGGACTTGGTGATCATTGCCTCTCTTTAATTTTCCTCCACCCTCTCTTATCCTCTTGTCTTACCAGATTTAGATTGTGAGCCTATGGGTGTGCAGTTTTGGAATTATAATTGCATGTGTACAGTGCCTAATTGTTTGTGTTCTTAATACAGTGCATTGCAGAAATATTCAGCTCCCTTTGACTTCTTCAAAATTTTTGTGTTACAACTTGGAAGTGAAATGGAGATATCCAAGTACTGAACACTGTGGAAGGGAAAATATATTTAGTGTAGCACAAAAGTTAAATAAACAGAAAAAAAAACCCTGGTGCAATCCACTGTCTCCTGAAATCAACTTAAGTAGTTAAATTCACCCATGTGCAATTCCACATGGTCAACGGTTTAATATGCCTGTTTCTGGAAGGCCCCAGAGTTTGTTAGAGAACAAGCATCATGAAGACCAAGAAACTATTAAAACAACTTCAGCATAAAGTTGTACAAAAGCATCTATCAGGGTTCAGTTATCAAAAAAATTCCCAGAACATGACTATCTGGCAAAGCACTTTTAAATGAAAAGGAAGAATATTGCTCAGCTGTGATGCTGGCTAGAGAAGGATATCTACCCAAACTCTGTGACTGGGTAAGCAGGGCATTAGAGAAGCAACCAAAAGGCCATTCATTGGTAATTGAAGCTTTGTGATGTATTGGGCTAATGGTTGGACAATTTCTCCCTTCTCAACTATGAATCTCCAGCTTCTTGTTGTTATGTTATGTGCCATCAAGTCATCTCTGACCTATGACAGCCCTGTAAATGAAAACCCTCTACAGTGTCCTATCCATGACCTACATTTCCTCAGTGCACTGTATTTTACATATTGGTGGAACTCACTGTTTGGGTGCTTTTTCTGCACATTTGGATATGAATAATAAAGTGACAACACACAAAAGAAGAACTTGCCTCGATCCTGCTTGGTAGGAGAAAAGGGCTTTGTAGTGCATACTACGAAGTTCCCACTTTCTGGGTCACTGAAAGACTGTCATCCTTTTAAACTGCTGACTGAGAGTAACTAAGGACATCTTAGCCTGTGAGGTGGAAGGGGAGGATACAGTGCATGCTGTACTTTGTCTTGGTGCTGCATAAGTTGCTCACCCCTGTATTTATAAAGGGAATGCCTACACAACAGAGGAAGCTGGGGCCATTTTAAGCCTAGTTGCCATATTTGTGTATTGAACCCTGCTCTGCACTTTCCTCTAATTTGAAGCGTTCTTTTCAGTTTGTAAGTGAGTTTGTCAGATTTGTATGGGGAAAATACCCCCCAAAACAAAACCTTTGATTTTCTCTCTTGCCTCGGTTGAAGGCAATATAAGCTAATGGCAATGAACTCAGGCTATCACAATCGCCTTTTCAGATTAATTCCAGTTTTTATGGATTGATGCATCTGTTTTGTATTTAAGTATACTTAAGCTGAGTTCCAAGTCTGAACTACAGTTATGGTTTCTTAAATCTGGTTACAGTTCAATGCAACATGTTCTATAAAGCTAAAATTCTCTAATGTAGACATGCCTTAAAAATCAATGTATTCTATACATTTCACCCTAAATTCTCTTCCTTTCCTCTTTCATCTATAGAAATATTATGGTTTGGATACAAAGTTTGGCGACATCGAACAGTGGATGGTAGGCTTTGTCTAAAAACCCAGTATTGTCTAAAAAATTTAACATCTTAAATGAATTACATCTCATAGTTGTTTTCCCTACCTGAAGTTGTTTGTTTGCATTTCTAAACTCCAGAATATTACAGTAACACATTTTCAACATTGAAAGTCTGATAGAATTTAGTATATTGCCTCTCAAAAGCAAACTGTGTCCTTTTAAATTTTCTCAGAGGTTCTATATTATTGCTGTAGGGTAGACTATCTAAGTGGGATTTAATGGCACACAGTTCCCTTAGGCCATGCTGACAGGCAGGATTAATCCATCCAGCATGAGGTCCATGCCTCCCTCCTAGATGCTCACCTGTGACATTCTACAGCCGAGCAGTGGGGAAGGAAAAGTTGGCCACTCCATGTGAGGTGACTTTCCTTCTTGCCACTCAGTGGCTAAGCAGCAGGGCTGGAGCATGCACCACCTTGTGTGGACTTCCAACACCAGCTTTAGATGGCTTGTGACTTCATGCTGTAGGTACCCCACTCCACGCTCCTACGGATTGCTTACAAACAATCCTGCTCTGCCGGCATTGGCAGGGGTATGGGGCAGGGAAGTGGGTGACTGTTGCTAAAAGTGCCCATTTTCATCCTGCTTCCCTTCAGTATTTCAGCGTGGTGTCCCTTGGGTACTAGCAGGAAGACTGAGGTGGGAAGAGATGGAGGCAGTGGCCAGGAAACCCTGCTGTACCAGATCATTAATTGGGCACAGCTGGCGTGTGTGTGGCAACTTTTCTCTGCTTGAAGATGCCTGTTTTCATTCCCTGAAATCCAGTTATTATATCAATACATTCTTTGGTGCTGAAAGACTGAAATAGTTTGGTATATTGCCTTTCAAAAACCACCTCTGTGTTTTAAAAACCAGACCATCTTTCTTAGTGAAACTTCTCAGAGGCAGGTGAATTGCTTCATATACTTTCAGCTCCTCATTTTTAAAACTCTGTAAAATTCCTTTGTACCTCCTAGGTTTATATGCTTGACCATGTTGTGTTCCTCCCTTTAGTCCATAAGTGAATGTCTATCCTCTTTTTAATGCCCTTTTTGCAGTTGTGGTCATAGTGGGTGGTTTTTACTTACATGCACGGCCCTATAGCCACTAATCATTCACTTGAAGCAGGATTAAGGTAGTAAGTGTGAGGGGGAAAAAGAAGTCGGGCATATAGAGCAGCAATAGAGGCTTCAGTTTGCAGCACCATAATGTTGCCTCCACATTGTTTTCCACATTTCATGCATTTAATAATGGCTTTGGTTACATGGTGGTTGTTTGGGAAGAGTTCTAAATTATGCATACATGCAAAATAGTTTAAGAAAGTAATGGTTGGTTTGACAGACAGCCGTTTTGCAGTTCTTTACTCCAGTCAGTCTTGCACCCCCTGCACAGGGACATTGCTGGCTTAACTGAGGAGCCAGTAGTGCAGAACTCTGCTGGTTACAGTTACTTCTGCAGATGGAAAAAAGCTGGCTCAGTTTGAACTGTATTCTACCTACCTGAACAGTGTGAACCAGAAACAATGAATCAAAATTCTTGAGCCTGAGATTAGAGTGATTTGAATGTATTCCAGTAGAGTTCCTGATCTTACAATTATATACCAAGCTATGTGGGTTTAGGGAAATAATTGATTTCGTAATACACATGACTTTTAAGAATCTGAAACAGTAATACATTTCAGATATGGGGAAACATGTATTACCACTTTTCTTCACATATCTTTGAGAAGCTTTTTTCATTATTCTCTACAGTTTTGCTGGATCCAGCTATGTTCTCAATCCTGGCATTTACTTTTTAAGTTCTGTAATACTGTTTCTCATTTTCAACATTTCATATTTTATCTTTCCTCCTGCCTTGGTAGGAAGACAGTGAACGTTACACCCATAAATCCAGAAGAAATACCTCGGTCAGTATTGTTTGTGTTTTAAGTTAAAGAATGCTAAAGAATAAACATTAAATGATTATATCGCCTTTCTTGAGACTTAGTTGTGAGAAATTCCTGCAAATTGATCAGAAACAAAATCTTACTTTTTAAAAAAAATCATAAAAAAGGAGAAGGGGTGAGATCACTCATTCCTTCTCCTCCTTTGCATAAGTTCACTTTGCTTTCTGCTAGTCTTAACCACTTTTATGTCTGTCCTGATCTTGATTATGCTTATTGCTTCCCGTGACTAGTGAATAAATGCTGTCAAAACTTGGTTTCAAATATAATTACAGCCTGGTCAGTATTAAGCATGACAAGTATATGCATTATGATGGATGATGCTTAAGGGTGGGTGCATTTGTGCAAAACAGGGGGCATGAAAGTGATGTGTGTGCTAGTCTTAGTTAGTTCGTACTAAGAGCATCCGCAGAGACCACACATTTTTACCTAATTCACATAAAGTGAGATTATTTAGATGCCAGTTAGAGAACTCATTGGGGTAATAATGCTTGGGAAGGGTTTTTTAAAACTTTTTTTTTCTATTTTTTTTCCTATGCTTTCCCCATAACATAGCTGAATCATTCAGTAGTATGATCTGTGATGGTTAGAGGATTTTTGTATTTCCTTCTAAAAACTTCTTCCTGGTTTATATCTAACTTAATGACTGACATTTGCATATTTTAAATTATCTCTGGTACACTCTTCACTTGCTTCTCCATAGGCTTCAGATGAGGATGAGCGCATGTCTGTGGGTAGCCGTGGAAGCCTGAGGGTTAGTAATAAGTGATTTAACATATATAAGCATTTATATCTGCTATTTACCAGAATTGTTTTCTATTGTTTTCTCTTTAGAATGGGCACTTAACCCTTCTATTGGATTAGCAATTTGACAATTGACTACTCCTTGCTTGCCAGGTTTTGCTATTTTAGGTTATAAGATTTTTTCTGCTTGAGCTCAGTTATTAAATCAACATTTTTAATCTGGAGAAAGCTGTGGGGCCTGTATCCTCTTTAAATACAATGTTCAGTAAAACAACTGACCTGATAGAAAAACGTCTATGATCTGTGGGCAATTTTATTGCAATGTGATTTGTGTATATGCAGCATCTCATATTTTGCAGCATTACCATTTCTAGTTGTGTATAACCTTCCTAGGATTATCTTCCCTCCCCACCTCCCCACACACAATTATTTAGGTTGATGTAATTGGATTAGATGAGTGATATATCCATTCCAAAGCTTGCTGTACTGGAAAATTCTTGAATTTAATTACAATGGGTTTCCTCTCTTGCAATCTGTACATGAGACAACACACCATATAAGTTGTAGATAGCCACTCTTGGTCTATCCAAGCCTTCAAAGCATTTTCTTTCTGCCTGTGACAAGTTGACTGGATGGTTGTAACAGACTGCTTTCTCTGAACAGCATTAAATGGTTCTGGGAAGAGCTCAGTTCATCATGTTCTATTGACAGGAAAGCTTTAGGCAACTTGCCAACAAACAACAAAAACCCACATTTATTTATTTATTTATTTATTTTTCGATTTATATCCTGCCTTTCTCCTACAAAGGGCTCAAGGCAGCTTATATCATTCTCCTCCATCTTATCCCCACAACAGCAACCCTGTGCGGTTGGGCTGAGAGTCTGTGACTGGCCCAAAGTCACCCAGTTGGCTCCATGGCTGAGCGGGGACTAGAACCCAGGTCATCTGAGTCTCAGTCCCATGCTGTTAACCACTACACCACACTGGCTCTCTCATAGCTTTCATGACTAAAGGCAACAGTTTTTAATCGTGTTGTTTTGGGCAAGGTATATATCAGTTATAATTATCATTGGATATATGCAGTCATTAGCAAATGGATAAAGCAGAGTTTACATTCTAGAGCTGCTGTTTCAGCTGGACCAGCCTCAGGTAGGCATCACAAAGCATCCACTGAGGTCCATAGCCCGATGCGTCCCCCCTCCCACACACACAGGCCAGGAACCTCCTGGTTCTGATGCTCCTCTTTCCCACCTCTGCTTACTTACCTGTCCTCTCAGACTATACAAGCATTAAAAAGAGTGAGGCGATAGAGTACTTTCTCTTATTGCCTTCTGTCAATCCTTCTGAGTCACTGACAAATTGGTTCCAGAAAGGGAAGGCAAGTGAAAAGGCAGTGGGGAGAGAATTGGGAGAAGGGTACAGTTGATTTTGTATGGAGTCTTGAAAAAAACTAGATTGCTAAATGCTGCCTTTATCAGAGATAACCTAGAAGCAGAAATCTTGCAATGCCGTTCACGAATAAGTGGCCAGCTGGCCCAAAGATCGGCTCAGGTTATATTTATTTTTTAGTATATCCCTGCTGCCCTCAAGTTGTTTCAGGCCATAATTACCACAACTCTTCTATGGGACTCTCTTAGGTTCAATATCTTTTAGTTTTGCCCCATTAGAAAAAGTTCAGTCAAAATGTGTAAGGAAAAAAGGTATCATATGCCCAGGATGTCCTCTTTCTTCTTTTTAGCTAGTATCTGTTTATAGGCTTTCTTTTTCTCTAGTAGTTGATTATCAAGGCTCAGGATATCTGGTCCTACTGCAGTGCTATGTGGAAGTGAGTGACTTTTTTTGCTTCCCAACATTCCCTATCAAACCATCACCTTGATTACTTAGTCGCTCTTCTCATTAGTAGCCCAGCATAGCATGACAGTATTGGATTCAATAACCACAATAAATTAATAGAAGCAGTTATTGGTTCCTTCCCCATGGCCCATTCCACTATGGCTGCTCAACACTTTAATGCACCTTCCTCTTCCAGAACTACCTTCAACTTCTGCTCAAGTAAGGGGGTCCATTTAGTGCAACAATCCCATTGCTCAGAAGGTATTAAATGAGTCCCAGACTGGACTTTCAAATATGGCTGGTGGCCTAGAGGGGCCAAGTGAAGCAAAATGGGTAAATGGTCTCCCAGAAGCATGGGGAGCTCCTGAAAGTTCTTAAGCAAGAGGAGTGAATTTAGATTAATTAACATGTAATCAATAGTACTGTATCTCTTTCCAGCCATGAATGTGAATTCCCCAGGATAATCCCCTGGGACATATCTGTTCATAATGGTAAGGTTCAATCTTTCTGCCAATCTTGCAAGGCATATGCCAGCAAAATTTGCTGTGCCATCTTTGGAGAGGTGAAGATAATGGGTAAGAGAGTGCTGGTCCACACTGTGCAATAGGCAGCTTACATTTACCATAAAGAAAATGATAATTTGGGCCTAACCTGGCATTAAGACCCCCTCCCCAAAGAACCTTGTCTGGAACATCTGCTATTAATTCTTCAACACAATATTCCAGGTTGGTCCCAATCAGTGTATTAACTGTCTTTCTTTGATACGGTGGGAGATATGTATTTATCACCCCTCTGATATCCTAATAAAAGCTAACTTGATGAATAATGCCATAGCCAGATCCAGTTGCTGTAATAAAGTGCACTTTGCCCTCAGGATGGTGGAAACTAAAATTCCTAGTCCTCCCTTGAGCCTCCCTGCGCTCACTCCAGGTATTGCCCTCTTAATACAGGAATGATATCCATTGATCAACAAATCCTCAGGGTAAATGAGTTGATACAGGACAATTGTGTCTAGGAGATTAATCTTCCTACACAGGAATTATTTTTATACTGAAAATATTACTCTACACCTGAAGAATCCAGTGTGCTGCTATTGAATTGGAACTGTTTGTTTGGGGTTCAGTTCCATGGTTCTGTGGGAATCAAGTGAGTGGACTCAAGAAATGGGTTCATTTGAATATACTTTTATGTGATGAGAAAGATCATCATGTAAGGACGTAAGTTTTTAGCCTTCCAGGTAGGGCAAATACCAACTCTTCCTCTTTTAAGGTTGATAATATAGAAATCATCACAACATCAAATCAATATAGTAAAAGTTATATGAGGGTCCAGCTCTATACTTTGCTGTTCAGCTTCATCAAAGTCCATAAAGGAGTCTGTCATCAAGCAGTGAATTCAGTTAATATCAGATTAGGCTTTCTGTCAAGGACTGATGCTGAATTACAGAATTTTAGGTCAGCTGCCCTGACATAGATCTATGTATATACAGGGAATCAGAACCTTTGCATTGATCTGTGTTCTTGATCTGGCCTTTTGTCTGGCTGTTTATGTTCTCATGGACTTTGCTATTATACCTCCAACAGACTGACTGACCATGCCAGTGCTTATCCAGTAGTGAGAAAAAGCTGACAATGCTTTACAGTGCAATACTCAGAATGCCCAGTTAGTGTTTGATGTACAGGTAGTTCCTGGTTTACAAACATCTGAGTAACAAACAGCCTGTACTTATGTACACATGGACTTCCATAAACCCTATATGAATATGACTAATAAATAGTCATGAATATCTCTAGGGAAGTGCTCAACACATTTGGGAACTCCTCATTACTGGTCACATAGTTCCTAGAGATATTCATGGCTTTTCTTTGGATATAGAAATTTTGTAGAGATCGAACTGCGCAGCTTATCTCTAGGGAACAATGCAGCGTGTTTGGCGAGATGTCATCAGTGGCAGCCTAGATCCTTAGAGATACAGTATGCACAGTTTTTTGTTCCATAGTATCGGCTCAAGAATACAAAGCCAGAATGTTTCAGAGCACATGTAAGGTGTGTGGTTCTCCTTTGGTTTTTCTATAGTACTTGCCCTTGTAACCAGGCCCTCAGCTGCTACAAGGCCATTTATAGTGAGAAAATGAAAATGGCACTCTCTCTCTCTCTCTCTCTGTACCTGTAGCTACTTTATCATTACTGTATTATTATCGTTATTACAATGCTGCATTGTGTTTTAGATCTTTTAGTAAATATAGAAGTGTTTCTTAAGTGTTTTATATGCATGGAAAGGTAAAATATATACATATACTAAAACAAGCGTTTGGCTTACTCATGTGATCCAGCTTAACATACAAATTTCACTTAAGGACATTCTTAGGAACTTATCTGTAACCCAGGGTCTACCTGTAATATGTGAGCCAGTCTAAGCAAAATGTCTATTTTAACTTGTGAATTTAATTGTGGAGCTAGTTTACATGTTACTTTTTATGATGTGATTACTGTACCAAACTGCTTCCCAGTGAATGTCTCCCATGTGACATGAGTAGTAATATAAAAGCTGTGGTTACCTAAGTTCAGGCTTACAATTATTAGCTACCCAAATAGAGTATAGTATTGTCTTGCCTTCATCGGGGGACATACATAGCTTCCATGCTTTCCTGTCATGTGTGCACTTGTACATGTGTGCATATCTTTGATGGAACTAAAAGAAATCCTTTGATGGGACTAAAGGGTGTCTTTGCTGTTCTAATCTTTTCTCATTGAAATTGACAAGTTTTTGCTTACTAAACCTTATTCAGCTGTCTTGGACTGTTTTAAAGAAAAGGCAGGGTATTATTTCAAATTAATTAATTTAATATTTATACTGCTCAACAGCCAATGCCTCTGTATGCTGTTTCAGCCACTGTTTGCAAGACCCAACCCTGGCTCTCCTTCAGCTTCTTTCTGTGAATGCTATGGAAAATGCTTCAGGGCAACCACACCTAGTATCAAGGATACCAGCCCCTGCCATACTGTGACCTGCAGTTGTCTCCTTGGACTAAGCCTTCGCACTAGATGCTACTGTAGGTTGTAGGTGTCAGAATTCCCTTTACCTGTCTGATAACATTAAACTGTACATGGAAGAAATCCTCAGAATGGAAACCTTTCTTGGGCTACAGATTAAGGACCCTCTAATCTCAGATTCAGTCTTTAAAAGAGTACAACCAGACTTAGCTGTACTGGTCAGTATCTCAGTGCTTCCAATTTTAGTGTATGCATTTCAACAATCCTGGACAAAACCTAATCTCCCACCAGCATCTAGAAAAATCAAACATTTATACAGGATCCAGGAAGAGAACTGCTCCATCTTCAAACACTCCCCACAACACCCAGATGAAGATGAGATGAAAGACTTACTCTGCCCCTGCAGAGTCAGAGAAAAAGAAATTAGTCTTGTTGAGATACAGAGATGTATTCCATTGCAGATGTAGAGATTTGGTCCAGTTCTCTCAAAATACAGCATTCTCTGATAGCTAGTTTGGATGATGCTGAGGAGGAGTTGGCAGATAAGGTTGAACTGTCACAGTTACTAAGTGGATTGCTCAGACAGTTTCTGAGAACTAATCTCTCTTGGGAAAGGAAGGAGACCCTGTGGAACAAGGAGGGGTAGAGGAGGAGGTAGAATTCTTAGACCCTGTAAAAAGATAACAGGCTAAACATGCAGACCAATTAAGTAAGGTGAAGTTACGACCTTTCAGAAAAGGAGGGAAGGAGAGGATCATTTCAGTAGAATTCAACTCTTCACATGGGCAGAAGCTACTCCCATTTATCATAGGGAATCATTACACTGATTTATGTGGCTTGTTAACCTGTCAAACTCCAGTAAAGGGCTGTGTTTCTAAAACTTTCATCTGCATCTGCAGGAAAGGAAGAGGAGAGATATACTCATGACAGCAGCCTTGGCATTGTGTGTTGAACTACTACAAAGGCATGCAGAGCAGCCTACCAGCAGTTCATATGGGGAAAAGCAACACTCTTGAGTCATCTCCCGAAAGATGTCAAAAACTTGGCAATGATATACCAAGCTGAAGCCAACAAATTAGCATGGCCGGCCACATAGCCAACTGAAATTTCAAGGCAATGGCAGCCTTCGTATTCTTACAGAATGAAGACATTTGCCCAGAGTATGGGAATGGGATTTGAGTCTTTGGTGACTTTCACCAAAGCAGTTTCAAACATTTTCTTCCCCACCTGGTGACCTGTCCCACTGACAAGTAGGTACTCTTATCACTTAGGTACTTAGGCAATTCCACCTAACTTGGAAATACCTTCCATGGGATTCTTGCCTTACTCTCTTTGACCTGCTCAGGTTGTAAGAGAAGAAATTGCTGCTCTCTTCAACAAGGAGAGAAGCACTCTGCTCATTGGACCACTGGTTTCCTCACCAGGTACTTTACATCTTCACAAAAGACTGTTGTGTTTGACCTTGACTTGACTGCTGGGAGGTGAATTGCTACATTATCTTTCCCACCATGGGGAAAAAACTCAGGATGACTACACTTTCCTTCATTTTTCCCTTCATTTTTCTGTGTCAGGGATACTGTTTCACAACAACAGATATTTGCAACACTTGCTTCCACATCACATACAGCCTGTTTTTTTTCATTTACCAGAGTCTCCCGTAGGCAAAAAATGCTCCAAGTTCAAGTGTCTCCTTTTTTGGCTTTGCCATGGCTCCAAGACTCTTTAAAGACTCCATGGCTCTTTAAAAGTATACACAGTAGTGGCAGCATATCTGAGATTTCACAGGATCATCATTGTTCCATACATAAATGACTCGCTCTTTGTACCCCTCTCCCCCTTACCACAGCCTCAATGTCAACATCAGCATTGGCCTGTTGCTTCTGGAATCTCTTGGAGAATGTCAGCAAAGAAAAGGCCTGTATTAAGACTCTCATACCCGATAATTCTTAGGAGCACTTCTTGACTCCAGTTGAGCCCATACCTACCTACAAAAAAGGAGAGTAGATACCCCATGATGCCTAGCTCATGAACTAAAGACAACTTGCCATTGTTGAGCAACCTGCCGTCAATGCCATGTCCTCAACCACCTTAGAGGTTCTATTAGCACATCTTCATATAAGACCACACTAGTAATTTTTCCTGTGCATCTTCAAACCAGAAACAAGAGTCCCAAAATTAATACTCTATCTCTTCCAGATTCGGCTCAGCATTTCCTGCACTCATGGATGGATACAGCACACCTCTCATGGAGACTTAACTTTGGGACTCTCAGTTTGACAGTCACCACATATGCATTCCTTCATGGCTGGGGAGTATCCTATGACTCATTCACATTCAAGGGACTATAGTCATAATGTGATAGATTCCTGCACATTAATCAACTTGATATTCTTGTCCTGTGGGGAAGAAATCGTGTGTCTAGTGGCATCTCATCTAAAACTCAGCAGACAATACCGTGCTGTCCTCCATATAAAGAATTGGGCAGCACTGTGTCTTTTCTCTTCTGACTCAGCTTAGCATTTTGCTTAGCTGTAAAATGTTTCAAATTACTGTTCTGTTCAAATGCATAACCCTTATGTGTGAGTTCATTGATAATAAACAGTTACAGCGCTTTCTTTGCTATTATGCTAATTCTATTAAGTCAGGTACATTCTTGACTACTTTGCTTGATTATAGGAATTACCAGACTACAAGAACTGTCAACTGTTCTCATTGTCTTCCCATGAGCCTCAGCAAATGTCTTCCTCTTTCCCAACTTTGCTTTACTATTTTGATGAAAAAATAAATTCTACTATGCTACTTCAGAAATGACTTCCATGAGACTTTTTGATGGTTGCTTTAGCTCTCTTCCCCTTCTTTCTCTCTCCCTCTCTCTCCTTTCCCTCCACCCCTACACAGCAGACAAATGGTTACGAAGAAGACATGTATGGTTCATCCCAGATTAGAAAACCTAGTAGGGTTAGTAGAATTTTTTAATTCTCATTTTTTGCTCATAATGAAAGTAGAAATAAGCTACTGTACAAGTATTGTACAGTAACCCTTCACTGACAATGTATGTAAAGAATATGTTAAAATATTTATTAGCCTTTGAGGTAAATCAAAGTATCATGGTATAAACTCTCATAGGACAAGGTGATCAATCAAATAAAATAGAAAAACCCTGAGTACAAAGAGTAGTGGGAAAAATTAAGGTAAATCATTATATAAGGGTATCATAGGACTATGTACAGTATCCAGTCAGACACAAGATTTAATCAATACATCTGTTTTGCATCCATACTGCCAGTAAGGAGATATTGGGATGCAATATTATTGTAAATGTAATGCCTTTGAGTTGGTGTCAGCTGGAATGTGCAGTGTGGTTGAGCTGCTTTTGTGCAAGCAAAACAAGCTTTGTTGATCTTTCATTACTCAATTTCTTCTTTGTACCATGCACCATCTTTAAAAAAAAACTTTTAGGTGAGGAGGAGAAATTCTACAAGAAAGGAAAATTTAAAAACCTGAACTGCCCCAGTACTGAAAATAGTCTTTTTTTCTGTTCAGTACTTCAGCAGTCTTCATTCCTAAACTTGCTAGAGAGAGTCAATGCAATGGAACATTTCTGAATAAATGTGTATCAAATATATGTAAAACTGCACTTGGAAGTAATGTCAGGCAGTCTTATTGATGCATTTACAAGCTGCCTTTCAATTCCTAAACTGGGAATAACCCTGTATACCTGATGTGCTGTCATCTTTTGCTATTTTCTGTGGCATCGTAATAGCAGAAAGACAAAAAAATGGGGTGTGGGGAGTGCATTAAAGATGTCTTGGGCATTTCTCAATTAATTTTTTTAGTGTTCTGGCAACACAACCATTGAGATCTTCCCTGTCCATTTATAAGGCAAATCTGCTCTTGAAACAAGGCTATTGGTTGCCTTTTTTCCCCTCTGGGTTGTGTGCATGGGTGTGCCAGACTCACCCCAACATTCTGGTTTGGTCTTCCCACTTAAGGGAGTGTTCAGGTACTAAGGGCAAGCCTCTTTCCTTACCAGTCTAGTTCTGTCACTTTGCCAGAAACATAGTGACGATTCAATGTTTGGAAAAGGTAAGACTTCATTTTTTTTAGAAGAAAGTGCGTAAGTACCAATAATGCTTAGAATATTGAATTAATGACTACATGCTTTGGCTAACTATAGGTGTGTTTCTAATGAACATCAGGTGAATATTGTTTGCTTTCTATTTCCTGCATACTGTGTCAGAGGTAGATCTTGAAATGAGCTAGGTATTCATCGAGGGTGTGGATGACAGAGTAAATTATAGGTGTTTCAATACTGAAAACTGCAGTATAGACTAAATCTTTTAGGATTCCTTAATGTGGAAAGGCATTTGAAACACAGGCATCTTTCCTTTATAGAATAGATAATTCTGTACTGAAGATAATACTGGTTATTCAGTTCACAAGAGTAAGTGATGGTGATTGTTCTTCTGCTGCACATAATAGTGCTGCTTTCTTGGTCAAATAGTAGTGTAATTCTCTTAGAAAGAAAAGTCTACCAGGGATTCCCTTCTCTGAAGGCTACTGGATGGTTGACTTAGAATATGTATGCTGGGAATTGACTGCTGGGAATTGGGGAAGCTACTGCTTGAGATACATTTCAATCCTATAGTTTTGGGTACCACCATGAGTTTACTCACTGTGGTGTGAAGACTGATTTGGAGTTAATGCTGCTGTTTTCTCTTTGTTCTTAAAACTTTCTTTATATTTATGTAGGCTTCCTGCTACTCTGACCTTAGTCTTCATTGCAATGATTTTCCTTCCCATTCCCAGCCTTCATCCCAAAATGGAAATCGGGTCTGTCAATTTTTCTCCCTGTCATTTTTGTTGAATATTCTAGTTGTACCTCTGCAGTACAACCTCAGCTGTTAGTGTTACAAGGCTTTAATAAAGGAGTGATTCTCTTTTTTATTGACCATTAGGAATCTTCAGCTTAATGGTTTATTTATTTTTCTTTAAATTGTTATTTTCACTTCTATTTGGGATAGACAAAATAGAAAGTTATTTTTCAGACAGCTGAATACTCCACCATGTATCTGTAATACATTTTCTTTATTTATTCATCCTCCTACCCTTACCATTGCTGGTTTAGCTTTTCTGATAACCTCCTAAAGAGAAGGTTATCATGTATTGACATGTATTTGACATGTATTTATGCTCAATTTGCTGATCAGTGCTTTGTTGGCAAGCAGTGGATTGCAGTTTGATTTTCCATTGTAGAGTATACAGAACAAATTATTTCAGCGACAGTTATAGAGAATCACTTGTTTAAAAGCTTTTCAACTGGGGTTGGATTTGCCTTCTTTTGCATGCAGTACGTGCTGTGTATCCAGCCCAATCTGAATTCTGCCTGTATGGAATTTTCCCCATCCTGGATATAGTGTGTGTTTGTTTTTTTCCTGTAATTTTGTATGCTCTGTTAAGAACTTCTACACATTTGCCTTCTAAACATGTTACTAAAAGATATACCCCCCACTAATTTTCAGGTCAAGCTCCTGGTGCATTCTGGTTTTGTTTACATTGTGAATAGTTACATTACTAACAACAGTTTAGCAGTAACACAATTTTACATTGCTTAAAACCATTATTTATAAAGCTGCTTCTAATAAGTTGTCATGGTGCCTTCTTATGAATTTTGCCTAAGCATCTTCCATTACCAGTATGGTGGTTGTGACTGAAACAGAACCTTATTATAAGTCCATCTCCAATATCTAGTATCTTGAAATCTTGCCCAGCTCAGCTGTTCTATTTTGTAATAGTAGCCTGCCTTCCTTTAGTAAATATACACAAGTGTGCTATCTTTGCTGTCTGGGTCTTTATTCATATTAGCTCTTTTGGCCCTGTAAGCAGGAATGACTAGTTTCTTCCTTTCGCACTCCAACTCACATTGCACCACAGTATGCATTACAGTAGCTTACATACTATCTAACAAGCATAAGGAATCCCACTATGAACAAACATTGTTATCTTTCTCCCTTCATTTTCTAAACGTATTAAAAACAGATTGTGTTGCTTGTCTTTCCCAGCCCTCCTTGTTGTACAGTGATGCTCTGACAGCTAGAAGCTACAGGGTTGGTTCCCACTTCCTTTGTCACAAGTGTGGAGTCTGCTTCTCATATCACATAACTTCTATCATGTCTCAAGAATATCTTGTTGGTTCAATTCATTTCATTTTGTGTCATTAAGTGTGTGATCTATAAGATTGGAATGCACATTTGCCTTCAATGTGTCTGTCAGCTCTGTTGTGCTAGCCCTGCCTTTTCCTCCCACTAGAATCCCGCAGTTGTTGCTTGTGGAGCTTAGTAATCTTGCAGATGGCTAGTTGCACTAAGTCATGCTCCTATTATTGGGTGATACAGTACCATAAAATTTTGCTTGATAGATTTCTGCAGTGGTTAAATATTGCCTCCATTTTCACATTTTTTTTCTTTTTGTTTCTACACACACAAAAGAACAAAAACGTTGTGCTTGCCTCGCATTATAATCTCTGCTTTCCTTTGTGTTAAACTTTAAATGAAACTTTGTACACAGCTTAAGTGTTAAGGATGGACATTTAAACCAGTAAATGTTTCCTAAGTGACATAAAAGTTGCATATTTGGGATTTAAAGTGCCACCTTACCAGATAGTAATATTTCTTTATGTTTGCTTAGACTCAGAAGTACTCAATGTCTACTCAGAAGTAAATCCCATTTAGTTTAGTTGGGCTTAGTCTCAGCTGAAATAGGGAATTGTAGCCTTTATATTCTTTGAAATGGGTTTGAACAACATTTTACTTTCCCAGCTAAAACCTGATGTCACTGTTTATAGTAATTTAAATGTGTAGATTTCATGGTTTAAATATGTACAAATGTGAAACAGGGGTGTTGCACGTATAGACAAGATTTTGAGCAGGCTGCCTCAAGCAGATGCTGTGAATGGTTCTCCTAGAGAATTGTAGCAGTTCTTGTTCTGAAAGTCATCTGGGGAAAGGCAGTGACTAAAAGTCCAAACGTTTATACGTTATATTTTAATTGCTTCTCTCATTAACAGCAAAAAATTCCTTTGGAACAAGCATACAACTCTGTTCACAGAGGACAGCATCTGCACTCAGCAGATTTATACCGGGTAACTCTATATTGTAAAATTTTCTTCATTATCACTGTTCATCACGCACATGGGATTTATACCTGTGCAGAAGGTCTGTTAAAATTTTCTAGAGTGATCTTAAGGTGTCAAACGACACAACCTTGTTCCCATGTTTGCTTTAGAGGCTCTTAGAGGCTCTTTTTTCACCCTTTGACTACTACAGCAGCTGCATTTACAAAACTATAACACTTATTTTTCTGGTGCTTGAGCTGAACTTCTTTCTCTTTCTCTTATCAGAACATTACTGCCATTGCAGTCCTCTTCAGTGGCCTTTCTATAAGTGTGCAAATTGTTGGAGCAAGCTACTACCAATGCGTAGCTACACTCTCTTCTTTTTCTCTTAGGGCAAGGGTGTGGTAGAATCCTGCATACACTGCCTTGAATTTGCTAAAATAAACACAGTGGAATCACTCTGCATGCCTCTTTGTGAAGCTATTGGGATGTGCCAGGGCACTGGATCCCAATGACATTCAAGACAATAGACTACTTTATACAGGAGTGGAAAAAATAATTTGGTGGCAAAAGACACTCAGTCACTCACATCTGTGCAGTCTCCTGTCTCAGCAGGATGATATTGCATTATGCTGCAGCAAACACTTGAGCCACTACCACCATTTGTACTGCCACTTATTCCTGTGGTGCATAAGAGACTTAGGATGGAGATTATTATAGTAAAAACAAAAAAGCCATGCTGGATCAGTCCAAGGGTTCAACAAGTCCAGCATGCTCCAGCTGCCCACAGGCTCTCAAAAGGGGAGTTTCTAAGCCCCTTTTAAAGTTATCCAAATTGGTGCCGTCACTGCATATTGTGAATTGGATCGATCTTAATCATATTAGTTACTCTTCTCTGCATTTTCTCTTGCTGCATAGTATCCTTTTTAAGGAGTAGTGACCAGAACTGTATGTAGTATTCATCTATGCAACTTCACTCACAACACAGGTTTTGTATAAAGGAGAGTAAGTTTTATTTTCCATTCCTTACTATGCCTAACATGCAGTTTACCCTTTTTACAGCAGCCATGTACTAGGTTCCTCAAACTGCTCACCACAACCCTAAGATTCCATTCTTGATCAGACAAGGGCAGATCCCATCAGCTTGAATTTGGCCTAGGAATTTTTGCCTCAGTATGCATCACTTTACCCCCAAATATATTTGTCACTTTGATGCCCTTTCTTCCCAGCTTAGAAAGATCTCTTTAGAACTCCTCACAATTCCTTGTTTTTTAACCATGCTGAATAATTTGGTATTATTAACAAACTTGGCCGCTTTGTTGCTCACTTCTAATTCCAGATTTTTCAAGAATAAGTTAAAAGAATTCATTCCAATACAGATCCCTGTGGGACTCCACTATTTACAGTTAATTTCTACATTTGACTTTCTAATTTTTAACCAGTTATGATCCAAAAGAAGACCTCTCCATTTGTTCCACAGCTGTTAAGTTCACTCAGAAGTCTTTGATGAGGGATTTTGTCAATAGCCTTTTGAAAGTCCTAGTAAATAACTTCTACTAGATTAGCTGTGTCCACATGTTCATATGCAGGTCAAGAACCAACAGTGAGAACTGGACACGGAACCACTGATTGGTTCAAAATTGAGAAAGGAGTTTGGCAAGGCGATATACTGTCGCCCTGCCTATTTAACTTATATGCAGAGCACATCATGGGAAAGGCAGGGCTAGTTGAATCACAAATTGGAATTAAGATTACCTGGAGAAATATCAACAACCTCAGATATGCAGATGATACCACTCTAATGGCAGAAAGTGAAGAGGCACTAAAGAGCCTCTTGATGTGGGTGAAGGAGGAGAGCGCAAAAGTTGGCTTGAAACTCAACATTAAGAAAACTAAGATCATGGCAAATAGATGGGGAAGAAATGGAGGTAGTGACAAATTCTATTTTCCTGAGCTCCAAGATCACTGCAGATGGGGACTGCAGCCAAGATATTAAAAGACACTTGCTCCTTGGGAGGAAAGCTATGGCAAATCTGGACAACATACTAAAAAGCAGAAATATCACCCTGCCAACAAAAGCACATATAGTCAAGGCTATGGTTTTCCCAATTGCAATATATGGCTGTGAAAGATGGACCATAAGGAAGGCTGAGTGCTGGAGAACTGAGGCCTTTGAATTGTGGTGCTGGAGAAGACTCCTGCGGGTCCCTTGGACTGCAAGGTGATCAACCCAGTCAGTCCTAGAGGAGATCAACCCTGACTGCTCTTTAGAAGATGAAACTCAAATATTTTGGCCACCTAATGAGAAGGAAGGACTCCCTGGAGAAGAGCCTAATGCTGGAAACAATAGATGGCAAAAGAAGAAGGGGACGGCTGAGGATGAGGTGGCTAGATGAAGTCACTGAAGCAGTTGGTGTGAGCTTAAGTGGACTCCGGGGGATGGTGGAGGACAGGAAGGCCTGGAGGAATGTTGTCCATGGGGTCACAATGGGTCAGACAGGACTTTGCGACTAACAACAACAACAACAACATGTTTATTGGTGCTTTTAAATAACTCTAGAAGTTTGATGAGACAGAACTTATTCTTGCAGAAGCCATATTCATTTTTTCTCAGTAGGGCTTGCTGTTAGCTTTACTAATGTTTCTGTCTTCAATAATGTTTCACCCAATTTACTGAGAGTAGATGGTAAGCTAACTAGCTGGTAGATCCCCAAACGTCCCTTGTAGATACCTTTTTAAAAAATTGGTGTTATATTGGCCATCCTTAGGGTGGATTTGGTTCATGATCTAAGCACAATTTAAATCACTAGTCAGCAAGACTAGTTTTAAACCATTGTTTTGCACACATGCCTGCCTTATCCATAAGTAGAGGAATGTCATTAAAATATTCCCAAACTGGGTCTCTTTTACAGTCTGCTGCCATTACAGATTTTCTTCTCCAGGGAAAGAATAATATGGTAAACCTTAGGCTATACACAAAAAGATCCAAAGACTTAAGTATTCTGCTCAGAAGGCCTCATTTTCATTTTTATTGCTTCCTCCTCACACTTAGCTTCTTGTGTAGATCTATTCCACTCCCAACAATCTGCTTCTATTCATTACATTTTTGAAACTTAGCACTTAAGAGGGAAGCGGTTGATTCTGTATACATAGATTTGGAAAGGAACAATTTTCTTTTTCTCAACTCCGTATGTTTAGTTTATAACATTTTTTTCTGTGAAGGGACATGTGATCTCTGCGGAGATAAATTCACAGTTTTGAGAACTGTAAAACCAAGCATCTGTGGTACTATCTTCTAGATGGAAAAATTGCCCAGTAATCTTACAGAAATCTCTGGAAGAGCATGACATTGTGAATGGAGTAACAGAATTCATTTACCAAAGCATTTAAACATTACATGAATGTTTGCTTGCTTGCTTGCTTGCTTGATATGCCACCCCCATGGCCATAGGCTCTCTAGTTGCTTATATCATGATAAAATCCTATATAACATAAAACAATAGAATGCACAGCACAACAACTCACAATTACAAAGACCAATAATAATAATAAAACCATTAAATAAACAAAATCAAACAGAAATAGTAAACCTGCTCCTGGTGATTTATTAACTTTCAGCTTTTCAGTACGATTATGAACTTCATACTTTGTGACCACTAATTCTCACTTCTTCAGACTCCCTTTCTTAAAACATCAATTCCAGAACAGGTATCTGTTGTGTATCTTCTGCAGTGAAAACAGATGAAAATAATTCATTCCAGTTTTCCACAGTCTTCTTATTTTAGTACTCTTTTCACCACTTCCCTTTGTGCTCTTCCCTGTACCCATCTTTAGCTCTGCTGTTTAGTTCCATGCAGCAAACTCTGCCAGAAGGCAAACAGTTTTTGCTTCTTCCAATTTGAAAATGTGTCAAAACCTGTAAATGCATTGAAAAGATTTCCATTTGTTCAGGCATTGTTGTGCAATAGATACAGGCTACTGAATATAAGAAGCAGGAGGGCACAAGGGTCCTAGCAACACCCCTGCTTTGAAGAATCTGATTTCATTTGAATTCTGCATGCATTCTGAACAGTCTCACAGTATCTAGAAATAATGGTTTTAGGGTTTTTTGTTTTGTTTTTGGTTTTGTTTTGTTTTGCTTTTTTATCATTGCATTGCATGCTGTTTGCACTATAGGCGATACAACTGCTGTTTTGTTTATTCATTTGCTTACCCTTTTCTTGTTTTATTCTGCACCTTGCTGCATCTTGAATCTCCAGATAAAGTCTAGCAATTCTGTTCTGACTCTGTTTTTTAATTGTAGGCATCTCTGTATGATGAGAATTTTAACAGTGAGAATCGTCGATATAGTGCTTCTAGTTCACGTCCTGTAAGATGGTTTCCACATTTTTGTGCTGGTTTCATTTCTGGCTGTTAGAACATTGTGCTTGTATAACACCAGTTGTCCATAATGTTGTCCTTAAAGACCATTTTTTGCAGCCATCAGTTGATTATGAATACTTTCTATTTAGAATGTTAAATGCTGTTCTTCGTCACAAATGGTAACAGGCTCTTCCAGATACAACAGTCCTGGCTTTCTGAGCCATAGTTTAGCAAGTCAAGAATCAGCATTTGATCCACTTGCTCCCCCTTTTGCAGATTGGCTTCAGCACTGAAGTTTCCCATTATATCAAGGATAGCGAACTCTGGTCTAATGTGAATTTACTGACCAGGATATTTTTTAAAAGTTCCTGGTGTTTGTTTCTAGCTCATAAATTGTCTTTAGAATGGAATTTTCCATGTTAGACACAGCAGGGAATTCTGATTCACACAGATGAGGATTGAAATCCCATATCAAAGGGGGAGTACAGGGGCTTGATGTTCATTCCTGGCTTGCAGATGAGGATCATTCAGTCCAAACTGGTGTGGCTGCATTCAAAGAAAGCTTCATGAATTAACATGTTCTCGCATATTCATTATTCCTCTCAGTTGTGGGTTTTATTAATTCATGTTCAGTTCATATCAGAATTTACTCTTATGCCTGCACTAGCAAACTAAGCTTTGGACAAATGTTCTGAACCGTGATTGCAAACCAGAATCAAACTGTAGTTTGCTCTGTTGATTAGGGACTCATGGAAACCATAGTTTGCTTCTTTGAATATAAAGACAAATTCTGCTTTGATGAAAACAGAAAATAATGAATTAGGTGAGGGGGAAGGTGTTTATAGAATCATTTGAATGGAGGCAGCATGAACTATTTCCTGTTGAGATTGTTTAAAGCTATCTTGAAACATATGCTTTGTAAATATAAATAAATATAAATATAATTACTTGAAATTCAGTTGAGGGCCACATGATCATATTTTTCTTTTTGTTCTCTTTCCCCTCTATGCAGTCTCTCTCTTGGAATGCGATCATTTTAATAGTGCAATTGTATGTAATGCTTGAATGACCAGACTTTTTTTTTCAGAACTGCACTTAGTGAAATGTAAATTCCTTGCCTTCCTTCAGTAATTTATGTTAATTAGTGGAAAACGGAGAACCTGTATCACTAATTTTCACTTACCAGAGCAAATTTCTTCCCTAACATAGCCACATAAAATGAAAGACAGCTTGTTTGTTTGGTTAATCATATGCTACCCAACTTGCAAATGCCCTCAGTATACCTTAGAGTCAATAAAATAGCAACTAAAACAATAAATGCAGCTGTTTAAATGAGCTCTCAATTTCTTAGTTAACTTTCTTATTTTATGCATAGTCATGGAAGATAGTTTAATGAATGTAATCATGACCAGCTGAAAGATACTAGGTTTCTTCCACTCTATGATTTTTTGGTTCTCATAGGATCGTATTAAATGCTTTTTAAAGAAGAACAAGCATCTGAATGGGTTTCAGAAATAAATAATTAAAAAATGAAGTCTTAAGTATGTTTTCTATGTGTAAGCTTCTATCTATCTATCTATCTATCTATCTATCTATCTATCTATTATGTTGCAGGGATAATTATTTCACTTTATAGCAAATGGCTATAGCAGTTTGTCATTTATAAGAAACGTAATGTATGTGATGTATGTTAATTTTTACAGCTGATGTTTTGCAATCATAATATTAAGATCTCATAGTTTAGGTCACAAAGGTTCTATTATTTTTAGTGACTTTTATTACTAATCTCTACTTAATGAGGTAGCACTTATATTTGGAAATCATATTTAATGAATCACTATTTAAATCTGATCTCCCCTCTCGATGCATTCCTCTCCCCAGAGTAGCCTATGCTATACGTAATTTAAGGGGCAATCCTCTGCAGGTTTAGATAGGAAAAATGACCTGCGACCCTTAGCCATCCACACTGACTGAATATACCAGAAGTTGTTTTTTTTTTTTTTCTTTTCAAAACATGCATGGGATTACACCTTTATAGTCCTATCCTGAGCACAATAAATTCATAGTAAATTCATACATAGCTAGCTGCAGTTTGTCATCTTACAGGTATTATTTTCTTAAATATAAGTTAATCAGAATAGTTGTGCCACACGTACTTAGAAAATTGACTAAGTTGTGGATGTGAGATAACAACATTCTTATGATACATTTTGAGAGTCTATATCCTTACCATGAAGAACATTTGATAACTCCTTTCTTGGTAAAAAATCTGGCTAGGTGAGTGTGGGCTAGTTAAATATAATTTAGACCAGGGGTGTCTAACCTTTTGGTTTCTGTGGGTCGCATTGGAAGGAAAAAAAATGGTCTTGGGCCGCATATTAAATCCACAAACACTAACAAAAGCTGATAAGCAAAAAAAAAAAAAAAAGGTCTGTGCATAATTTTTGTGATATCTGTCACCACAGATAAGCAAAACAGTTCTCACATAATCCTAATTATGTGGCGCCCCATTCAGAGAGTCTTTTAAAATCGTCGAGCAAATCCAAAGTTTGTGATCACTAATAGAGAAAATGAACATATATAAGTAATAAAACTGCATTGATTTTTTTGATTTTTTTATTATAAAAGTAAAAGAAAAGAGGGCAACATAAAACTGGTGGGATATTTGACATTGTATTTGAGAAACTAATGGATCAATATCTGATTCTATGAAAGTAGTTGCAATTCACAGTGAGTTCTCAAGGTGCTCATCAGATATTCTGGTTCTAATTTTACTCTTAGTGTGCTTCATTCTAGAAAATAGTTGCTCACAAATGTAGGTGCTTCCAAAAAGCGAAGACATGAATAAGGCATGATTGTGAAGCAAGGGATATTTGTCTCTGGGACAATAGGGCCTTTAAAATCCATGATCACATTTTTCTTAAGTTGAATGTCAGATTGCAGCTTTATATATTCCATTTGAAAATTGGCAGGTAACATATTTATGTCGAGTGAAAATGGAGTTGCAAAAGTATCAAAATAGTGCTTATTTTCCCAGAAATCTTGAAATCTGTTTTCAAATTCTTGTATCAAATTGAAAAGTAAGGGTGCATATTTTTCACTGTCCACAGGACAATGTTTAGCCAATGTGTCAAAATGTATAAAATTGTTTGAAATGATAGGTTGAAACATTATTGATAATAGCTGCATTTCATTCGCCAAGTCACCATGAGCACATGTAACATCTGATGGTATAAATTTGACTGTCTGAGCTTGGAAGATAACACACTGGAAGCTTCAGACTGCCATAAGCCACGCATGCATACGAATAGTGAGAGCATAGGTATGTTTATTTTACATGACATTGTGACAATACATTGTCATCTACAAAGTACACACTGGAGAACTGTGTGATCGAGTTACCAAATATCGCAAAAAAATCTTGTTTTAAGTATACGATTTTGTGTTGGGATGCATTCATAGCTCTTCTGGGCTGCATGCGGCTCCTGGGCCTCAGGTTGGACATCCCTGATTTAGACCAACATAACACAACATTTTTGTGAATATAAAGTGGAAGATTGTGGTAGTATAATACACTCTGCATCAAGATAAGCAAATGTAATACAATCACAAATAAGTAATATTCCACTGATATTAATAATATCCATTCAGTTACCTTTTCGAAGTGTTCACTTCAAAGTTTTTACAGTATCTGTACTAATCAGGATCAAAAGAATTGGGCAATGACTTCTGCCTATCATTTTAAAGCACTGTTGTGATCCTTCATGTGTTCCTTAGCAAACTACTTTGGAAAGGATTGGTGGGGCTATTCAAAGAGAGTGTCCTTAGCCCAAGTGTTTGTATGGCCATTGGGGTCAAATTGCTCTTAGAGTTCTTGAACTGAAGACAAAAGTTAACCGGCCAAAAAGCTGATGAATTTGATATTTTTCATTTGTACACTTATCTGCCTGAGAGCATATGGGGAGAATCTCTTAATTGGATAGAGTTGAGAATATTGTCACACAATCTTAGAAGTATGGTTCTGGACATTTTCAAACATGTCTCCAGACAGAATATGCAAAATGTTTAAGTGATTATGGGAATTGGATTGGAGTCCTGGTGTGAATATACCAATGCTTACATGCTTACATGCTAAGATGGATACCTACCATTTAACAATATATGAGCAGTGGCTCACAGAACAGGGCTGAACTAGTTCTAAGCATTTTTGTTGCATGTACCCTATTTCTTTTTAATGTTTTGTTTTACTGAATTTGTTCTTATGTTGATTTTGCAGGTGGAGATATCTACTTACACTTTCAGTAGCCTCATGTCATAATATTCTTAACTTAATTATAAATGCTGTTAGTCTGACTGCTACTATTCTAATGCTTCTTCCTCCTCTCCCATTCTCTGCATTACTTGGGGTATATATGGGCAGCCTTCGGAGTACAGTTTCTACCTTGGTTCAGGATCTCGAGCATCTTCTAGAGCTAGTTCTGCTCGTGCAAGTCCTGTGGTGAGCATGTCTTTCTTCTTCCTCTTTAACCTATTACATTCTTTTTTTCTCTCTTTTCTGAGGTTCTTTTACTGTTCTGTGCTACACAATTACTAAATAAGTTCACGTTAAATCATAAAGTTTAAAAGGACTGGGTGCCTGTTAAACTCTAATGGACCACACTGAGTTTCACAGGAGGTTTTGCCCCTAGTATGCAGTTAGATGCTATTGTAAGCTGAATTCTATTCAATAGTTGGTCATCTGTATAGGTGTTTTGTTGCCTCCTCCTTCATAATCTCTGTGCATAACATATATGGACTCTGCGCCTGTGTGTAGCCTGCTGTCAGGAAGATTACCTAAGTAAGAGCGTTTTGGTGGGAATACCATTCCCACCCTGGCATTTGATGTATATGGGAGGAGTCCCAATCCAACTTTTTTCAACTGCCTTTTGGTGCCTTGGGAAGTTCTACTATTTCTCTCTTTTCATGAGCTTTTTTCTTCTTCTAAAATCCTTTTACCTCAACCCATTTCATTATCTTCTCTTAAAAATTTCTTAAGCATTATCCTTTCCCCTTCCCTCCCATCCTTGGAAGAAACCATTTTCCTTTTTCCCTTGCTGTCTCCAGTACCTCTTTTCTATTTCTTCAGCCCTTTTTTTCCTTCTGACTGTCTGATGGCATAAAGGATCCTTTCTATAAAAGCTCCTTTCCTTTCTGTAAGTGTGGTGCAGCATCACACTCCTGCTGACAGACAGGTGCTCACTCTGTTTGCTCTGCCATGGCAAGGAGCACATGGTCTACCAATGCCCGCACTTCCAGGTCTTCACTAAGTAGGCCAGGAACCTTTGGGGGGGATTGCCTTCATACAGAGCTTTGGAGCAAGGTGCTCTGAGTAGTAGATGCCACCAAGCTGCCAGAACTAGCCTTCCCCTCAAATTCTGAGGCTCCGTACTTGCCTTAATCTTTGACTAGCACATCAGCCACAGGCTACTGATCACCACTGACTCAAGGAAAGTCGTTGAAGTTGGGGAAGGCAAAGAAACTGGCTAAGAAAAAGAAGGAAGTGAAGTTGGCAAGAGCTTTGGTTGCCATACACAAATGGCACCTGAAAAAAACATTGATCAGATCTGGCAAGGGTGGCGAAATCAACCATGACCATCCCTGAACCGGGGTTGTCAATACTGAGGCTTGAATCCATCTCGGCCTCAGTATTGGAAGGGAAAATTCAGGATAGCCGCCACCTGCCTGACCCCATTCTGAAGTCCTAACTCCACTACAGCCAACCACCCTGCCCCCAAGATTGCTGGAACATTGACGGGCCTGTTCCTGCTCTCCCAGTTTGGATGGGAACAGATATTCCACCTGAGGGTTTTACAATCCATGGAGGTATCCTTACCACTAGGACCCCTTCTACAATGGTACCATCCTGACTACCATCTAGAGGTTGATGGGAGATGGGAGCATTTTTGACCCCCCCCCCCCAGGCTTCCAAGGACCATGTACTCTACCACCAAGACTTCAGTGGTCAGTTTTATCACTTGCAGAACTTCAAGGTCCTCAGAATGTGCCACTACCTCTGTTATGTCTCAACGTCCATCATGATCTTTTGTCTCTGTGCACTCCATCAGACATCAAAAACTACGTCAAACACCAACACTGACACCTTTTTGTCAGCTCCACCATCTACCTCCTTTCCAGACACAGTTGTGGGTACTCAAGAGCTCAAGACCTCACTTCCCCATCAGTGAACATGGGCCAGTTTTCTGCTCAGATCCAGAGCATGACTCATGTATTTGGACTGACCATGCAACTACAGCTAGAGAAGGCATCAGATCCCATCTTTGACACTGTACATGTGGTGGAATCAGTGCTGGTGGCCATACCATTCCTTTTTTTAAAAATAAGTATTATTATTATTTTCTACTAATTAACAAACCTAACAGAAAAAAAAAACCCTAAAAAAAGTCAGTCATCAAAAACATCACACCTACTGGGTCAGCCTCCCATATTTTTTCTTTGTGGCCACACCATTCCTGCTGACTTTACTGTATATCATCCGGCAGTCACAGAAGGCCCTATCAACAATGGCACCAATGTTGAAGAGGCTGGAGAACATGTATGGGGTGCAGGAGAAGGATGTCACCTAACATCCAGCACAAGGAAGGTCATATTGCGAATACTCTGCACTAGTTGAAACAGAGGAGAGCTGCCTGGACATTATGCCACTGGGACCCTGGGTGGCCAGCTATCAGGCCATCATGGTGAGGTATGAGTTATTCCTTTGCAAGAAGAGGGGATCTCTTATGATCACCTGCCCGAGCCACAGAGAAAACTCACCAGAGTCTTCCACTCTGAGCTGATGTGTTTTCCCATATTGAGAACAACATTGCCAAGCACCAGGTGGATTGAAGGTCATGAAGCATGCTATGGAAGCATGTCTGTCTGTGCTAATCCAGCCTGTTAGAAGAAGCCTGGTCCTGCAGCAAAGACCTGCCATTCGACTGGGTTGGACTCTTTAATGAAAAAATGGATTAGTGTATGGACTTGATCCAGAAGCATGGACCACAACAAGGAGGATGAGTTTTTACCAACCCCCACTCCCCCCAAGACCAACTAAATGATTTGGGTCTGCTGCATTCTTGGTCCCATCTCGGCTCCAGCAGATAGAGTCTCACTTGAATTTCTTTCCACTTGAGACAGAAAGATAGCACCAGTAAGTACCAGCAAGTCAACCAGGATTGGCAATAGTGGTAACTGGTCCCCTGGCCTCTTTTCTCCTCTTATGTTATTTGATGAATGTTTGTTTCACTATCTCCCCAGCTGGGAAGCAGTAACCGGCTTTCGTTCTATCTGTTGTGGACTTCGTTTAAATTTGGAAAAATCTCTTTTTTCCCTTTCCAGTCAATACCTTACACTGGGGCACACCTAGGTTCCATCTCAGCAACAGCATATCTCCCAGAAACAAGAACAATGACAATTATTGCACTGGCCTCCAAGCTTTTCAGGTAATACATTGTCACTGCCATCCCAATCCATCAACTCCTTGGCTTCATGGCAGCAATGACTGCAGTGGTGCCACGGGCCAAGCTCCAGATGCTTCTGTTGCACCTCTTCTTCATCCATACCTAACATCCTGTGGATAACCTATAGCAGCTGCACCTTTGGACCAGTTTGTTCCATTCTTGTGTGGTGAATATGCCACTCCAACCTTTTAAGTGGGGATACCCTTCATGGTGAATTTAATGGTCACGGCCTGATCTAGATGGGGAGCCCATTATGGTTCACTGAAGGGACATGGGACAACTGTGAAGCCTGCAAGCATTTTGCCTACATAGAAATAGTTGTGGTAAAAAATGTGCTCACAGCGTTCCAGATATTCCTGCCTGGTCATCATGTCTTGATTACCCCAGAGAACACCAAAGTGATCTCCTACATAAACAAGCAGGGAGGCACTTGATCAGTCCCATTAATACACTTAGGTATTTGGAGCTGGAACTGATGTGTCAACAGGGACATTGCTCTCACCTCCATTCATGTTGCTGGAACCAGCAACATCCTGGCCAAAACCTTCAGCAGAAGGAATCTTGATACCCATGAGTAGCAGCTGAATCCCACGGCTGTGGAAAAGATGGAAGATGCACATGGGAGACTCCTTCTGCTGATCTCTTTGCCACTTGGAACAATGTCATATGTGATAGCTTCTGTTCTTGGTCAGGGCAGGGTTTCTCTGGGACATGCCTTCCTGCTAAGTTGGATGGGGACTTTCTGTTACCCCAACAGGATGCTTAGCAAAGATTTATCAGAATGCAGTGAACTGCATTGTACCAACCTCTTGGTGGTTGAGACAACCTTTGTTCACCTGTCTACTGAAAATGTCCAACCAAACCTAGATCCAGCTCCTGTCGAAACCAGACCTAATCTCTTAGGATCAGGGGAGAATTCTGCATCTGGATGTCAGTACCATGTGCCCAATAGCATGGGGAATTAATCCCTTGAGCATTCCTAGACCTTCCATGTGAACCTAAAGCCATTCTGAATGCAGCTGTAAAACTTTCCTGTATGCTGCAAGTTGGAGAGCCTTCTCATCCTTTGCAGCAACAGAAGGCTTTGGTCTGTGTATGTGCAGAGTTGAACAAGTTATACTGTTCCTTACCACCTTAAGACCCTTTCCATCCATGTCTATCTGGCAGCAATCTCTTCCTTCTCAATTCAGGGTTGATCAGTTTTCTTGCACCTACTGAGTAGCCGTTTCCTCTAAAGTAGCCTTCCCCAACCTTGTGGCTTCCAAACATATTTGGACTGCAACACCCAGAATTCCCAGTCAATGGCCCTCCTGGATGGGGATTCCGGAGTTGCAGTCCAAATGCCTCTAAAGGCCACCAGGTTGGGGAAGGCTGCTCTAAAGAACATTGATTCATTCCCATGTCCTTTAACACTGGATTGGAGTTTCTGCATTGTCATACAAGCACTTTTGAGAAAGCTGTTAGAACTTATGGCAACATTCAGTTTCTGCCTACAGTCTTGGAGGGTTGCTTTTGGTGGCAATTATATCAACTTGGTGGTCCAGTGAATAATATGCTGTATGGGTTGATCCTCTTTACTTTGTATTTCACATGGTTAAAGTCATACTGCACTCAGAGCAACTTCTCTTCCCAAAGTAATTTCCCCTTTACATTTAAATCAGGACATTGTTTTGCTGGCATTTTTTTCTTCTCCATCCAACCTAATAGAATCTACATTGCATACTTAGAATATCCACAGAATGTCAGCATTCTATTGGTTCAGAACCAAATCCCTCTGTTGATCCCAAAGATTTTTAATTTTAATTTTCTTGCTTATTAGAGGTTGTCCTTTATGCTTGCCTCTATCACCACAAAGATAATCAATCTGGGTAATGAGGACAATCTCTTTGGTATATGATCTGCCTGTATTGCAGCTTCTGGTATCAGCAACGACACAGTCTGCATGAGCAATGGTGATGTCAACCACTTCAGCAGGACTGTCCTGATAGCCATGTTTCCATGATTACAGCATCTTACCATCCAACATCAGGTAAACTTGTTAGTTGCCCATATTTGTGAAGCACTGAGACCATGAAGAAGAAAGGCAGGTTGCTTACTTGTAACCATTGTTCTTCACATGATCATTTGTGCATTCACACAACCCAGCCATTGACACCACTATGGTGTTATATTCTAAACTCTACTTTTTCCTCTACTGAAAATGAGTCTTTAATTGTCCTTTCTGTCCTTAGATTGGGCTTGAGTAAGGTTGAGGTCAGTCAAAACGATCCACAAACAGGGTGGAGCCAGGTCAAACAAGCTTGCCTCCCTTGCCACTACCATCTGGGACCTCCAAGCAGACCATTTTGACTGCCCTATATGTGGCAGGTGCCAGCAATATCCTTGCAGACTCTCTCAGCAGGACTTACACCAAATATCACAAGTGGGAGCTTCATCCCACAGTCCTCCAAACCCTGTGGAATCATTGGGGTGTTCCCCAGGTAAGACCTGTTCACTACTGAACACAATACATTGTGCGACTGTTTCTGCTTAAGGGCTGGCCTATGTGTTCACTCCCTCGGGGATGCCCTTCTTCTGTCTTGGAGCGAGAAGCTATTCTGTTTCCGCCATTTCCTCTGATTCCAAAGGTCCTCGCAAAGATCCCTCAAGACCATACTGATGCCATCCTCATCACTCCATGGTGGCCTAAACAACACTGGTTTCCCCTCCTACTTGACCTAGCCAACAGGACTTTCTTTCATCTACCACACCAAGACAACCTTCTCTCACAGGATCATAGTAAGACTGTCCATCCCAACCTGTCAACACTCCAACTCACTGCATGGAGAATTCAACAAACTTTGTCCCTTTAACAGACATTCTTCCCGCCCTTAGATGCTTCATTTAAACCATCTGCTTGCAGGTCATACAGCACAAAGTGGGCAGTGTTTTCCTCCTTCACAGCCCAACAGGACTTCTCCCCCAGTCACAGCCTCTCCAGTTCAAATCCTTCTGTTCTTGAACTGACTATATAAGAAAATGCCTTTCCTACTCTTCTGTCAAGGTTTATATGGCTGCCGTCTCAGCCTTTCACAATCCTATTCAAGGATGCTCAGTTTTCTTACACCTCCTAATCCACAAATTTCTCCAGGGGATCTTCAATGTAACTCCTCTCAAATATTCTCCTCCATCTTGGAGTCTGTCTGTTGTTCTTCATGCACTCACTAATCCTCCCTTCAAGCCTATGTCTTCATGTGATCTACGGCTTCTATCTTGGAAAACAGCCTTTTTAGTTGCTATTGCTTCCGCCCAAAGAGCTGTTGAACTCGCCACCTGCCGAATTGACCCTTCGTAAACCATATTCCATAAGGATAAAGTTGTTCTGTGACCTGACCCTCCCTTCTTACCTGAGGTAGTTTCTTACTTACATATCAATGAGCCTATTATTCATCTCTTGTTCTTTCTGAACCGCTCTACTCCTATCAAAATCTCTCTGCACTACCTAGATGTGCGAAGAGCGCTGGCCTTTTACAAATCAAGAACTCAACCTTTCAGGCAATCTCAAAGGCTTTTTATTCTCTGTGGCATATCATGGAAGGGAAGCTCAGTTTCCCCTCAGAGGCTCTCCAGGTGGATCATACATACCGTATCCCTAGCTTATGACCTCTCCAGCCTTCAACTTTCCAGACCTGGCAAAGCACATTCCACCAGAGCTACATCCACTTCCACTGCCCTCTATGCCAGAGTATCTCTCACTGACCTGTGTAAAGCGGTGATATGGTCAAGCCCGTCGACCTTTATTTGGCACTACCACCTTGATGTTAAATCCAGAGAAGACTGCACGTTTGGTAGAACGGTCCTCTCCCCCATACTTCACTGAGCAGCACCACTCTCCTCCTTGAGGTAAGCTCACCTGTCACCCATATGTGTGATGCACAGAGACCACGAAGAATAAAGGCAAGTTTCCCTAACTGTAACTGTCATTCTTCGAGTGGTCGTCTGTGCATTCACGCATGCCCACCCATCATCCCCTCTGGTGTCTCTCAAATAGACGTATGGGTTATACGTCATTGACGTAATCATGACTGTAGTCTCAGTTTCGAACAGAGTTTTTCGTGGGAGCCTGCCCTCAAACGTGACTAGTGTGAGGGTGGGGCTTCCCCCAAATACTAATTAATCAGCTTTGGAATCTTCCTGAAAACCACTCCATGCACATGCAAGGAGCCCATATGTGTGAATGCACAGATGACAACTCGAAGAACGGCAGTTACACGTAAGGAAACCTGGCTTTCTGCTTTTTCATTGCTTGAAATTTGTCTAACACTACAGAAAAACAGTCCTTTATCTCGTAAATTTAAATTGGCTCGGAAGATTTTTCAGTGTTCCAGGACTATCAATCACAATCAATACATGATACAAGATAGTGATGGGCCTTTTAATCTGTTTATTACTGCTATTACTGCTTTTAATTTTTATTTCATGTTTGCTTTTTATCTTGATGGTTATGCATAATTTGTACATAAGAAATTATATTGTCTTTATTTATATGACTTTATTATTATTCTGCTATTCCTATTAAGAACTTGAGACTTTATTTTCAGTTTTATGGTCAAAAGGAGAAGTTGTTTTGCAACTGGTATTTAAGCATATCATAAGGAGCTTGAAATACTAAATAAAAGGTGATCTCATACATGCCCTTTCTTGACATCAAACAAACCCTTTTGACAATATAAGCCAGGAAGAAGTTGCAAAATACATTCACTAAAACTGCCCTTTTAGTAAAAGAGATTAATATCTAATGATACATGATACAAGAGCATTAGTTGTATCAAAGTTTTAATGGGCCAGTTCTTATGCATCACTTTTTTCCCTTTACAGAAGAAACATTCAGGTCTGTATCCAGGGTTCCATAAAACCACTCACTAGCTTGAATGTTCCCCTCCCATGTATCTCTGTGTCTTCCCTGTACAGAGAGACAGAGTGAACAAAATCCTCTTTGCACTAAGTTCTTGCAAGACCCACCAGCTGCAGTGATGTGCTACTGCTGTCTTCACTAAAAGTTCAGGAAAAGAGAGAGAAACCATTCTAAAGGCAGAGGGGTCTGTAACTAATGTCTGACTAATAAAGCATTTCATGCTTATACTGACTTGACTTAAAATGTACTTTATAAGTCAAATGAGTAAAATGAGGGTGAATTAAATTACAAAGAGTGCCATCTGCTGGAAGGGGGAGGAATTACCCAGCTGCTGTAAAACAGGTTCTTAAAAGTGGTGCCTGAGTCCTAGAGGCATGGCTAAAGACAAAAAGGAGTCTAAGGCAAAAGCAAGGAGAGAAAAACTGCCTCTGCTGGCTCTTCTTCCGATACTAAAATATTTGGCCAGGAAACACAATGTGAGCATAGCTGAGTAACAAGCCTGTAAATTATTTTGGCTGATGAGGTGAGGGTATGATGGGAGATTGCCATCTCCAAGTTAGTTGAGGAAAGGGACAGTGTTCAAGAGGAAAGGTTAACCCCTGAAGTGAAGCTTGGCCTTTGTAGATTTCCCATTGCTGAGGTGAGCAAATCTGTTTACTGTTCTTCAGTTTGACATATAACATAAGAATGTTTAGAATTTCTGAAAACATTGTCTGATTTTTACACACACTTATTTGGAAAATGTGTAACATGCCACCTTTCAGATAAACTCTCAGATAAGTTTCCATAATCCTCCTCCTAGCAGAAGAGTGAAATGGCAAATTAAAGCCATCTATCAAATATGCTAGAAAGTCTCAACAAACAAAACTCTATTTTCCTCAATTGAACAGTAGTATTAGTGCTAGTAGTTATATTTATATACCACAACATATAGCCCAATTTAGGACTCCCTGGCTGGTGTACATTCCATTAATAATCAACAATACAATAAAAAGACTCCATAGAGTACAATGATATTACAATAAGTATAGCAGTTTAAAGTACCAGTTAAATTTCATAAAATAGGGACAATATAAAATATAAATAATAAAAATATTTAATTATTTATATACCTAGAAAATAGAACAGTCTTTGCCTGGTGCCAAAATGCTAGTAATGAAGATGCAAGCAAACTTCTAGAGGTGAGATACATTCACCAAGCAGGTCCTTCTTCTGTTATCCCCCTCATTTCTTTGGTGGGTGGTTCTTTATGCTATTTGGGAGCATATTGGCAGTCAGTGTTGCTTTTTAAGAATGGGTTATGTATTCTGTTCAGCTGATCCATATTGGAACCTAGCAGTTGTAGTTTGGACTGCCTGATGTTCCAGTCATTCCTGAAAGGCATTTCTTAATGTATTTCATTGCAGTAATCTAATCTGCAGTAGTCTGATTTTACCATAATATGGATAGCTGTAGCCAGGACACCTCTGTCCAGGAGGCAGATGGTGCAGCAGACTCAACTGTTGGGAGGCATGTAACATGGATGCTATTTGGGCATCTAGTTACAAGGTTGGATTTATCAGTACTCCCCAGAATGCAAACTAGATGCTTTATGGGGAATAAAGCTCTATTCAAAAACGTTCAGTGGGAAAAAACTATCCAGCAATAGCATCTGCAGCTTGTCAGGATTGAACTTTAGTATTTGGTCTTCATCCAGTCCGTAGCTGATTCCAGACAGCAGGTCAGTGTTTCCACTGTCTCACCTGACTCACATAAATAGAAAAAATAGTTCTTTACTATAATTCTCCAGATGAGCTCATTGTACCACTGAATAGTATAGGAACTGTTAGACTAAGAAATACTCTCAATGTGTTTCTTAAATGTGCCTAGGAAATCCATTGGGCAACTTGGAGAAAAATTAGTGTTGGACATGGCTAGGAGATTTATGGAATTATTTGGACTATAGATCCTAACAGCCCCTAATTGTCATTAAGGATTATTGGAATTATAATTCAGAGGGCAGAGTGCTGCCTTCTGCTGCTGCAGCATGACTGCCATGGGGCGGAAAAATAGTTTTCCATCCAAGCTTCATCTTCTGGGAAGGGCCATCCAGATAAGAATAGACTCATCAGTGAACAGTTCTCAACCTGGGCTGGCTACTCAAGCAGGTATCTTTGATAATACTGAAAACTAGTGAGTGGCTTCATAGAATCATAGAATAGTAGAGTTGGAAGGAGCCATGCATACCATCAATTAGACAATTTTGTGTTGTTGCATTTCCCCTTTTCTTCTCCCATAGTTATTCATCAGGGCAGCTCAAGAGATTCTCAGTTCTGAAACTAGATCTGAAGTGTTGTCCAGAATGGATTTGCTTGGAAGCCATCTGTTTGAACACCTTGCCCAAGGTCCAAGAATACTTTATCTAGGAATGTCTAACTGCTCAAATTTGGCTGGGGCCAGTTCCACTTGTAGAGAAGCATTAATTATGTACTCATTCCAGCTGCTGACCTGCTGGATATCATAAACTGATGGGGGAGAGAACAAGATTTGGGTATTTTGTCAAATACCTTGTCCTAATCTTCAGGGCACAGTAATTGTAATTTATCCAACAAGGCATCTGGTATACTGGACACCTCTGTAGATTGAATTGCATGACTTGGTGATCATCAGAACAAAGCACATATGAGTGATTTCATCCTCTAAAGTACTTATATGCTGTATTCTATGCTGTTTTCTGCATCAGTAAGCTGTTAACCAAGGAACAGAAGTGGAAATAAATAACATATCACAGTAGTGTGCGAACAGTTTCTTTATATTACTCTGAGGAACAACCTGGAGTAGTCCTCAGACCAATGAGAACAGCTTTGCTGGACAGCACTGCAAAGCTGCAGTGCTGCAGCATTATTTTTTCCATGCTGTTAACTCATTACATCAAAGTGAGTGATTACTTCTGTTTGGTACAGACCACTGCAAATTTTCTATTACATGTGCTCTACCCAGTCCACCAGAGGTTTCCTGCCAGTCCATGGGGGCCCCACATCCCACTGTACTCCAACACCTCTTCCTCAGTTGGCATCTGGTGTGCCAGTACAGGCTGGGCAGGGCAGGGAGGGGACTGCCTCAGCAGTCCTCAACGTGGTTTTCCTGTTTTCGCCATTTCCCAGCTGTGAAAAGGTTGAAAATTACGGCTTTAGCTGTCTCCCTGGTGCTGTCATCACCCTGAAATCCTTGTTAAACCAAGGAATTCTGGGTGCTTCATTCTGTGGATGAGCAATTATCATATCAGCTGTCTGAGTTGTCTCCCTGTTGTACCAAATGGTGAACCACATCAACTGGAAATTTTCTGAGAACTGTTAGGAATCCATCTGGCTCTATCACTTGCCTAGGGCTGACCATTTTAGTAGGTCATCCTTTAAGGAAGGTATCGAATAAGCGAGAAGTATTTTTCAGCTTTAGATTAATTGTTTGAAATGCAGCAGGAATGTGAGCTTATAGGATTTAAGCTGTTCACAGCCATCCCCTGCCTCCCAATAACTATAGCCTAGACTGCATTTCCTTTGCACATGCCCCACATCTGCTCCAGTGCCTTTGGAGTCTCTCTGGAGCGGTTTTGGGAGGTGTGAAGAAGGAAAGAGTACAAGCTTTTACTGTGTGAACAGAAGTCCATTTATGTGACATTGATTTTAACCCGGTAATTATATGATTTCTGCATGACTGTGCTTGCCACCATTTTTTTTTTCCTGGGATAATCAGATCATGTTCTAAGGTCTTGCTCTGTGAGACCTAAATGGTTACATTCTCTAGGGAAAACATTTTTGTTTAGGAAAATATATTTTATTAAGGTATAGTTTTGGAAGATGTTCCTCAACAGGGAGAAGGATTTCCCTGCCTCCAGGAACATGCTGAGTATCTCCAAAACCCCTCTTCTTTTTCACAAGCTCTTACTCATAGCTATTGGCATTATCTGTAACACCTTTCTGTTAACACACCATCACCATTTCTATCTATATATTAAACATTGAGAACCCATGAGAGAACTTCAGCTGCTGGATGGTATGCAGATGCATGTATTAATTTATCTTTCTGTGCTTATTCTGTTAAGTGTTTGAAGTTCCGTTAAGTTCAAATGCTTGATACAAAAACAAAGTGATTTGTTTAAACTATTAGTTTATTTGGTTCAAACTACAGATTATTTTATTCTCCTGCAGTTTAAATTTTCATGTTAATTTATACGACTTCACAACATGAGAATAGTTACAAATGAGGAAGACGGTGAAAGCTTTTCACTGAATTAAAGCATTTAACAGCAGAATTTTTGATTTTAAAAAATTCTGAACTTTTTCATCCCTGAACTGAAGTACAGAAAAAAGCGAATGTCCAAGAAGTTCAGAAGTACCTATTTTTAATATTCAAGTACTTAGATGCTTATCTTGGTGATTTGTATGCTGACTGGGTAGTAACTAAGTCAGGTGATACTTGCGTAGACCACACAGTAAATAAATTATCTTTGCAGGTAGCTGTGCAGTCAGTTTGAGGGAAGTGTGTCCGTGCAGAAATGCCTTGTCATACAGTTATAGTGTTCTTTCTCCCTCACTCTAGGTTGAAGAAAGACCTGAAAAAGACTTTGATAAGGTAAGAGAATGTATGGCTTAAGGCATGGAATGTGTGGAATGTATTTGAATGGAAAATTAATGACATACTGTTTTAAATTATCTATACAAACTGAAGCTGAGTTGATTTATTGGTGTTACTAATGAATGTGCTTTTATGGTTCTCAGCCTTTTTTAGTTTTCTGTTATTGCCCTTGTATTGAATTCATATAGTTGCCATTATAACTTTTTATCTTGGTTCTATTGCTAGATTGAGCAGTCCAAGTGATAACATTTTGCTATATGTTCCCACCTTTTTTTGTTGGAAGAATGATCTCTGATGATATAGGCAGTATCCAACAGAGCCCACACACTAATAGATCTCTCTGCTGATGCAACAAGAAGTTAGTAGTTCCTGCAGTGAGTTTGGAAATGACTAGAAGCAGTTGCTTCTGAATCTGGGAGAGTCAGCAAGAACTTGCAAATCTGGCCTGTTCTGAAAACAAATGGTTCCACTTGTTTCCAGAGTTGCTTCAGGCACCATTGGCTTGTCATTCCCCTTGCAGTAGGTTGTCCAGGTACAACAAAATGACTGCTGGTGCTATGGTGGTATCAGACATTGCCCCTATTTTGTAGGCTTGATTTTTAGTGTTAGTGGAATATGTCATGCTTTGTGGAATGTGCATTACATTTGATCCAAAAGCGAAGGGAAATTAAAGACACACAAATGTTAGAAAGGTTTGTAATAGGCTTGAACCTCATTAAACCTGGTTTATAGGAAATGTGAAAAACACAGTTGCCTCATTCAGATGTCCAAATTTAACCAACCAGGAGATTGCTTCTCCATCAGTTGTATGAGAGAAGGCATAAAAGGGAGAAGGGTGATTTGAGCTTGTTTCTTGTTCCATCTCCCAACAAACCAGGTTACTTCTAAATCAGATCATAGTGTGGAATTAAAACGAATCAGAACTAGGTATGACTTTCTATTATGCCTTGACACATGATGAACAGTTTTTTGAATAGTATGGCTTCCAGTCATATTATGAATATTTTGACTTCCTTGGAGGTGGGGGAACACTGAATAGAATGCTGGCATTAAGCATTCCATTTATTATGGGCAGTATCTAATACTGATTGTGTGCTAACAGGTCTCAGCGCTAGTGCAATACAAAGCCTTGTTGGTCTGAAAACCAAGGCTAGTAAGAACTCACAGAATGGAGTTCTGCTGTTCTGTTCCATTCCAGAAAGGAGAATTTTGGCTGATTTCAGGGTTACTTTGAGATGTGTTAACTTCCCACTGCATGCACAATAGGTCCCACAAATGTGAAAGAAGTAGTGGAGGTTCAGCAGTATTGGATCCTGTTTCACAAATAAAATATAGTTGCATCAAGATTCCCCACTTTTCCCATTTCATAGTCCATTCTTGCCTTTTCCGCTGTGGTATTGGGTAATGGAATATTATCAGGCTTTCAGGGATGTCAACATGTTCTAGCACTGAGTTCCAATGCAAACTTCAAATAATTGAGCTTGTTTTTAGTAATATAGTCCTGGTTACCTTTTTGATTCAAGAGCGCAACTGAAGATGGTTATTAACTGTCTTGTAAACAATCACTTAATTTCAGGGAGTTCGCACTGTTTCAAGTTTATCAGCAGCTACACTGGCCTCTCTAGGTGGAACTTCTTCCCGGCGAGGCAGTGGGGATACCTCCATCTCAGTTGATACTGAAGCATCTATGAGAGAAATTAAGGTAAGGTGCTTGCTGGTTTTGCATGTATTCCTAAGGCTTTGCCATATAGAAACAGTCAACATGACTCCGAATACCATAATGGTCACAGGGAGTCAGTCAAAATATTTTGCAAGTCTGAAATAGTGCAGGGTAAAGATTTCATCGTGGCTAATGAATTCTGAAAATAAAGAAGGAAGACAAAATTCCTGGTTTTGCTCATGTCCCCTTTCTGCTATTCAAGGATTATGCTGTGGTTTTCTTGTCACGATATTTTGCAATTTTCTTCAGGATATTCATGAGTTAAAGGACCAGATTCAGGATGTAGAAGGAAAATACATGCAGGGATTGAAGAAAATGAAGGTACAACTTGGCTGCAGAGTGAGCTTATGCATTAATCTTGGCTAAACAGCCAGAGAGTTAAAAAGAACAGAGTGGAATTTAACCTGCATGCGTTCTTTTAGAGTTGCACAGTTGCACAATGTAGAATGTGTTGCATATTTTGCAGTGTTTAATACATTCTAATTGTTCAGTTCAGAACATAATTTTCCAAAGTACATCAACAGATTCAACAAATATTTCAGCCATGTTTTACTTTTGCATGCTTTATACAACTACTTGTGTGTGCATGTATCTATATGTATGTATCTGAGTATATATTTAATCTTGTAAACCTGTAGTCCCCAACCATTTTGGCACCAGGGACTGGTCTCGTGGAAGACAATTTTTCCACAGACAGGGTGGGATGATTTTGGGATTCAATTGCAATACACTTATTGTGCACTTTATTTCTATTGTCATTACATTGTAATATATAATGGAATAGTTATACAACTCACCGCCTCAGCTCCACCTCAGAGGCATTCGATTTTCATAAGGAACACACATCCTTGATCTCTTGCATGCAGTTTGCAGTAGGATTCAGGCTCTTATAGGAGAAACTAGAAAAAATGGATAGGCCTGTCCTGCCCCCTCACCTCAATCTGCCTAGTCCCATTGGTCTAAAGCTCAGTTGTTCTGCCTTATTTATGTATTTATTTATTTAAAATGTTTGTATACCGTCCCATACTTAAAAGTCTCAGGATTTTTTTTTTTTTTTTTTTTTAATTGGAGTGCCTGCCCCATGCCTTAGCCACAGTCCACACGTGCTTTTGGATACTGTTGGTTGAGGTGCAGCTCACATCGTCTTCTAACTTGAGATACAAAGTGTCTAAATGAGCTTTAGCCCGTTCAAAACAGATTGGATTTGGTTGGTCAGAGCATTCTTGAAGTCCTGCCTCCTTCTCTTGTGCCTTGGTGCTGCAGCAGCCTGCGAGCAAAAGGAGGAGGGGAATTGTGGAGGTTACACCCACAGGTGATGCTTTCCTCGCTTGCTGCCACTCACTTCCTGCTGTGGGGACTGGTTCCTAACAGGCCACAGACCGATACCAGTCTGCAGCCCAGGGGTTGGGGATCCCTGTTGTAACCTACACATTTTTAATTATTGTACAGTTTAAAATTGGTCAGTTTCAGTAAAAAGGTAGGGAAGTCCAACCTGGAGAATATATTAAAATTAGATCATATCTGAAATTTTATGCTGCTTATGTTTCCAGTTTCCTGTACCAATTAAAGTAAAACCATAAAATGTGGACCATGCCCCAAAATCTAGGTTAAATTCTATTTGAGTACAGTTACAGCAGTCCAACAATGGAACCAATTACCTAGGGAGATTGTGGGCTCTTCCACACTAGAGGCATTCAAGATGCAACTGGAGAGCCATCTGAGAGGGATGGTTTAACTGGGAATCCTGCACTGAGCAGGGGGTTGGGCCCAATGGCCTTGTGGCCCCTTCGAACTCTGCAGTTCTATGAGTCTACGAAATTGAATGCAGTGTCTAAGAGTGCACTTGGTGATCCAGAAGGTCCTCACTTGAAATCTTTTCTCTGTCACAAACCTGTTAGATGGCCGTGGGGAAGCTATGCCCTGTTTTTAATCAGATTGGTGAGCCTTCTGCAGCTGTTGTAAGAGTTAGTGGAGATAGCAAATGTGAACTGTTTTGAGTACCTGGATAGTTCATTTTAAATAATAATAGAATAAGATTTATAACACAACCTGCTTATCTGTCTACCATTTCTTGCCCTGCAGCCTCACTTTTACATTGTAAAAGTAACTTCTTCGTCGTGGCCTCTGTGCATCACACATATGGGTTCTGTGCCTGCACAGTGCCTTTGGCCGGAAGATTGACAGCTAACGGTTTTTGGCGGGAAGCTCCGCTCCCCTCCCCCATGGCCTATAAAGAGCGGAGTGTCCGCCATTTGTCTACATTTAAAGTACAATGCAAAAGTAACTTTTACATTTAATAATGCTGTTCTCTAGCTTTTTTGTACTTGGTGCTTTTAATAACTGAAAACTCCCTGGCATACTTCAGTCTCAATATAATTATGTTATTCTAATTGTTGACATTCTGCTCTTCAAATCTTTACACAACTTGTATGATTAGACTGTGTAAATGTGCAGTAGCCCTCCTTGTTTTTGATGCCATACTTAAATGTGAAATCACCTAATTAATACAATTAATACAGTGCAAAGATTCCCGTCATTCCTCCACAGCATTCTTTTTTTGATCCTGCTTTGCTACCACACAAAAATAATAACCTTGAATTGGCACATCTAGCAGAAGTATCTGCAATGTAATGTGGCTGCTGGCATTTTGAAATTACTAAAATAGCTCTTACTGCAATAAATACAACCTTTTTAAAGAGGAAAAAAGATAAAAGAGCTCCTGGCATTTTTTGGGGTCCTCACTGACACTGCTCTTTTGCTCCAGTTTAGAGACTATTTCAGCATAGACTGAAATATTTTACAGCATTTGGACTTGGTAAACTGAAAATACTTCTTAATCTCTGAATTATTTCCTGGTTTTAGGACTCTCTAGCTGAGGTTGAAGAAAAGTATAAGAAGGCTATGGTATCAAATGCTCAACTGGATAACGAGAAAACCAATTTCATGTACCAAGTAGATACCCTAAAGGATGCATTGTTGGAACTGGAAGAACAGCTTGCAGAATCCAAGAGACAATATGAAGAAAAGAACAAAGTAAGTAGCCGCAAATGAGAAGTCTTATGTGGCATTTTCATCTGCTATATGGGAGCAGAGTGAGATATTTTCATAACCTTGCTAATATAAAGATAATATTCCCCATATTGTTGTTATTGTTACTGCTATTATTGCATTTCTTTATTGCCTGTAGCTGAAGCTCTCTGGTGGTTTACAACAATAATCAGAGAATTATGCAGTCAAATTGTTATTGTTTTAATGTATTTTGTATTTTATTTGATGTTGTAAGCCGCCCCGAGGCCTCGGCAAGGGGCGGCATAGAAATGTTTTAATAAATAAATAAATAAAAATAAATAAAAATCATCTATCGCGATTTTAACTAGGCCTGACCCTTCTTAGCTTCCAAGATTAAGCAGGATTAGGCACTTCAGGATATAAGGAAACTAGAGGTAGTAGTTGTAGATATTTGAGGTCTTGGAGAAGTTCCTTTAAAAACTTCTTTTCTTGAACAATTGCAGTGCTAACCCATGGTGAGGTTATACATGACCTAGGCAAGCAAACTATGTATGTGGCATAATGTGGGAACAAGCCTTAGTGTTTTAGGCTATCCCATACTAGGTGTTAAAATTTGAACTTGAATCAAAAATTAAATAGGCTGTAATCCATTAACCCTCTTTTTTATGGCAGATGAATCATATGACTAGAGGCTAAGCGCATAGCTATTTTAGCATATAGACCCTGATTCAGATGAAAAGCTCCATGAATAGTAGCAGATGGTTCTCCCAAATCTTGCTTCCATAAACTGCCATGTGCACAATTTAGATTCTGGGCAAATAAATGGTCCAGCGTGTAAATATATAACATGTAAAAGAAGAAGAAGGGAGGGAGGGAGGGAGGGAGGGAAACAAGACTAAATGTGCACATCTGGAATGTTTGCAGGAAATAATGATGTAACATCCTTTGCAAAATTTATTTGCTTTGTATTTTGTACACAAGCTGACTGTGATATCCTTACTTTGTAGGATTTTGAGAGGGAAAAACATGCTCATGCTATTTTGCAGTTTCAGTTCATGGAAGTAAAAGAGGCTTTGAAGCAAAGAGAAGAATTACTTGCAGTAAGTCCATTCTTCATTTAAGGAAATAAGCAGCTTTTGACAGTACAATATGTTGGCTGCTGGAACACAGATAATTATCTGTCTAGATTTTCCACAGAAAAACTAATTCTTCAGGAATTAATTGCATTGTTCTAGAATAAATTTTGTTGTGATACCATCAAAACAAAAGGCCAACTATGTCCAAGCTATCACAGATAGATCTCTTACTTTGCACATTTATGTGGTATTTCTCTTTTGTAAATGTTTTAAATTACTGTTAGAGACTTGAGGTAATTGGAGGAAACTTGTAATCACATTTAAGTTTTTGTGGTTTTGATCGAAAGTCCTACCTGCTAAACATGATTCCTGGTGTCCAAGAGAACTGGTTCATCACCATTGTTTGGAATGTTGGAGTTTACCCCTATAATCTGAGACAAAAATGGAAAAAGAATTTTTTTTTCCTGGAGCTTCCTGATCTTTTGCAGGTGGAATAGTAATGTGAGAAATTTTGGTTATGAAAAGAGAAGGATTCAACTTACTTGCTTGTCCAAGGATCAACAAATAGAATTGCTCTATTCATTCAGTCAAAGTAAGGCAGTGGTGACTAACATTTTTGGCCCATGTGCCCCTATCATTTTCTAAGAATGATGGGTGCCTCCCATCAAGTGTGACTACTTTTGATGAATGCTGCCCAGAATATATATACTAACCCTTCCCGCACCTCCCAGTGCCCTGGGAATGCTTTTGCCCCCATGGAATAAGCAGCAACACAGTCCTCGAAAGACAAGAAAGAGCATAGGCCTAAACTGTAGGCTTACTTGCTCCTGCCTAAGTTACAGGTTGTCACCATCTTCTCTGCTAGAAAGTAACAGTCAAAATGGAAATGTTGGGGTACAATCATGAAAGTTGTGTAAATGGGTAGGTTTCTTTATAGTTCATGTATCTTTTTATTTCACTGTTCTTTGTGAAAGCTGCAACCCTGAATTTTTCTTTTGATTAACTCTCTTGTCTGCTTTCTGTCTTCTTGTTTCCTCCTGCACCTCAGGAAATCCGACAGCTACAACAGAAACAGGAGGGCTATGTCAGGGAAATATCTGATCTTCAGGAGACAATAGATTGGAAAGAAAAAAAGATAGGGGTAGGATTCCAACCATGCCAAAATTTTGTTCACAGTATCACACCCTTTTAACTTAGATGTATTGAGTAAAGTCATCTCAGTTAATGACATGGGTTAAGATCAGAACAGTTTCTTGTACCTCCTGAAATTCCAGACTTTCCATGTGCTGCTTTGGAAATGTTCTGGAAGATACTCCACCTTTGTCAAGTGGCTTAAATCCAACAATGAACACTCTTATCCATAGCTAAATTAAAAGTGCTCACAGTGTGACACACTCACACACACTGCTTTGGTGAGAAGTAAAAGCCACATATTCCTATGAAACTGCATATCAGCTGCCAAGGTGATATTGAAGTGGTATGTGTGCTTGGGCTGGAATTTGGGGTTTCAGCAGCATTTAGAAGCCAGAAAAACCCATTACAAGTGAAACATTATACAAACAGAATAAATTTCTGTGAATGTATAGATTTTTATTTTAGTCCATACAATATAAGGAAGAGTCCATAGCTCAACGGCAGTGCAGATTCTATGTACAAAACATCTGCACTGCTATTGAGCTATAGACTCTCCCTTATATTGTATGGACTAAAGTCCCAGGTTCAGTCCCCAACTGGAAAAAATCCTGCTTCAGATGCTGCAGAGCTTCTAGCAGATATGTTTCAGATATGTTTTTACTGATGCTGGTTTGGAATTCTTGAGGGAAACATGCAAAATTTTAGACATGCAGAGATAGAAGGGGAAGAGAGCTATACTTAATGAAACATAGAAACAGAGCGAATCAGAAGGGGCCTCCCGGGCCATCTAGTCTGACCTCCGGCACCAGCCAGCTCCGCTCACGACGTGCCCACCATGTGCACGTCCAGCCTATCCTTGAACACCTGCACCGATGGGGCCTCAACGACCTCCCGTGGAAGCCCATTCCACACCCTCGGGGTCCTAACTGTCAGGAAATGCTTCCTGGCATCCAAATGGAACCTTGGCTCCCTGAGCTTTGCTCCGTTGGAGTGCGTCCTGCCTTCCTCTATAGACTATACTGAGAAAACTATACTGAGCCCCCATCCCGCAATAGTAAAACATATCTGCACTCGGCTCCTAAGACAAGCTGTAAATAGTTAATGCTGATTTTTGTACCACATCCCAGGTAATTTCTTGAGTGTGGCATTGTTTCTGGTTTTCATTCCAGGAAACATAACCTCATTTGAACAGGGTTCATTTTCCCACTATCTCCCTTATTGTGACCTGTTTGTGACCTGTTTGGAGGATCATATTTTAACTTAGTAAGCCAATGTACAATAAACAAAATTTTAGCAGCCCCTTTACTACCTAATCTGAGGTCTCAGCTATCAAATCAGGAAGCAGTTAACCATACCATTCCATTTCATCAAAACTGTTTTTACCAACTTTGGAACAAACCAGGATAAAAGAAGAAACTAGTTGGGGCTTTCTGGGTTAATTGCTCTCACTGCAAAGAGAGGAGTAAAAAGGCTGTATTGCCCAGAAATTATTCATTCATATCTGCTTATTAAGCCAAGAGGATAATCTAAATTCAACCAATCTTTGGACACTGATCACTACAACATAATTGTTGTCAAAAACAGCATAGAAGTCCATTCTGTAGACCATTCTGGAAAGCACTAAGCATACATCAGTGGCTAATCTTTTACTTTCCCATAGCAGGAGAAGCTGATAAACCACACTCAAGGCCATGGATGCCACCTGGAAATCCAGGAATAATACTGAGTTCAACAGTATTCTCACACTATAAACTTGGTCTTTATATAAGAGAGAGCCAGCTACTCCACTTTGTCTCTTGCTCTCATTAACTCTGCTTCATCTGGATTGAGTTGGATTTTACTCATTTTCTTCCAGTCTACGACTGACTACACTGAATCTTGAAAAGCATGAGGGATAAAACTGAGTCAGGAGTCCCATAGGACAGTTCCCATGGGCATGAACAAGAGTTTCCTGCATTATTTTCATTAATTAATCTTCCAGGAGGGAGCAGAACCACAAATATTAGAGCTCCTAAGTCTGTATCCCAAAAAGCAGAACAGGAAGATACCATAGTTGATGATGCCAAAACCCTTTTTGTTGCCCAAGATAATACACAGAATACATATTCCCTATCTCTCTTGGCAAAAGTTGCCGACTAGAGCATCCAAAGTAATTTCTGGCCTGAAACCTGACTGAAATGGATCTGGATAATCAGTTTAATTCAGGACCATCTGGAGTTAGGCAGGTACTTTTCCCTGAAGCACCTTACTCTGAAATGGCAGATCAGAACCAGCCAAAAATTGCCTAGCTTGGTAGGATCTCACTCTGGTTTTCAAAGATAGCCAAAAGAAATCCTTCAGGTAAAGATGCATTATCAATTTAACTATGATGAGAAGTGTTTTATGATAGACTGTTCAAGATAAGCAAGAATCAAGTTAACCAAGGTGTGGAACAAATTTTTTCAAGTACTTACTCTGTATCATTGGATGCAATAATCAAAGCAACTTCTATAGAGTAGCACAAAGGGGATTCCCACAGACTGCTTCAAACTTTGGCCATCAGCCTTCAACAGGGACTGTCAGAATGGTTTCTCCTTATAAAAATGAAGCTAGAAATCTTGTCTCCCACTCCATCCTCCATCCAATTCTAGATGATGTGCTATATTCAATATTAGAGCATCTCTTGCATTTCCCCTAGTATAGTAGGAGACCTGCAGTTTTAAACCTGTTGATCACTGTGCATTCAATGCAGTAATATGCTTATTTTAATACTTTAGAATACATATATTGTATTTTTAACAACACAGAATTAATCTAAGTCACTAAATGGACAGTAGAAGGCTTTAAGATTATTGACAGAAAAAGATTAGCTCACCATTGCAATTCTATATGATACTGTTAATCAAGGAGAAACTAACCTTAGAGCCTTAATCATAAAAAGGGAAAGCCAGGAGAGTAGGACAAAACCATAATTTGTAGCAATAGGCTAGTAATGTGGGGCATTTGTGCAACCAAAGCCTGTAAAGTCCAAATTCAGCTGAACAACCCAAGCTTGCTACATGCCTCTGTGGCAATTAGTACTGCTTAGGCTGTTGAAATACGGAATATTTATGGAAGTGCTAGTTACTGAGATCTCTAAAGGAAGCTTTTGTAACACTCCTAAGTACTAAAATAAAAAGCTTTTCTCTTCTTGCATGCAGATTCCATTATTCTCTGCATATCTGAAAGCAGCTTATTCTTATTGCTAATTTTCCTTTTATTTTTCCCTCTTTCCTGTTCTTGTTGTCACTTCATCTTCCACTTGTTCCTTAACAATTCAGGCTTTAGAGAGGCAGAAAGAGTTCTTTGATTCCATAAGAAGTGAGCGAGATGATCTTAGAGAGGAGGTGATTGTGCTGAAGGAACAATTGAAGGTATGCAGAAACCACAGAAGAGGCAAAGTGTAAAAAAAAAAAAAAAACCGCCATTGCTTTGTGTGTGCCCAAGAAGAAGTTGGCTAGGGGTTTGCAGTGGTGGTGAGCAATTTGTTTAAATAGCGATAGAGTGGCATATCTTTATTTTCTTACTTACTTTGATTCTTTTGTTATGCTGTTCTGTCAAATCCATGCAGCTACATTAGATAACTTGCAAGGATTATCACTGCATAAAAGCACATATTTAAAAATTCCCTGGTTGATAAAAGTCATGGGTTATACCATATACATAAACCAAAGCTGTATTACAAGTGATGTTTCCTTATGCCTTATGCACAACCTGTTACGAGCATCACATGTTTCAAACCATAACTATTAAAAAACATACACACTGGAGTGGATTCAAAGTTTCCATGGAAGTTATATGGTGTAGTTGCTAGAGTGTTTGGATTGGAAATAAGTCCAAATTCATGTTTGGCTCTAGTAGATAGCTGTAGATAGTTTTGGTCAAGTCAGCCAAATAGTACCTTACATCATGACATTTCTAAGATAAAATCCTGCTTGGAATTCCTTGGAGAAGGAGCAAGGATTGAAAAGAAAATACCTTTTGCAGAACTCAAAACCTTTGTTCAATCTCTTAATCAAATACCATATAGTCTTTTATCAGTATGATTCTTCTAAGTATAAAATCTCCAGTTTGGGTCTTTACAGTTCTATGGATGTGAAATGTCTTATATTATTTTGTAATTTCACTCACAGCAACATGGAATAATTCCCAACTCAGAAGGAGCTACCAATGGAGAAATCTGTAGCAGGCTTGAAAATGATGGACTATCACATTCTTCCAAGATTGTTCCAGGGGCAAGTCACATCTCTAAGGTACCCGGGGATTGTACACTAGGTAAGTGTTTGCACTCTACTAACATTTTTTTTAATCACTACATTTGCTTGAAAACTTTAAAAAATGTGAAAAATGTACTAATCACCAGCATGCCGCTCATACAATCACTTCTGTGCATTTTGTTTTGTTTTGCTAATTGCAAATCATCACTTCAAGCATATTACATGGCTTTTTTTCTTAGCGTTTAACAAAGAATGTTAAAAGTAATTCTTTGCATTGCACAAGTCCAGGAAAACAATTTTTAAAAGATGTCTTAGCTACATAACAGAGCATGCATATATTTTATCTAGATATGTGCAATCATAAACATCTTGAACATCTGTGCAGTTTCTCTGGTCCCCTGTAACTCCTGGGGAAACTTTAAAAGATACTTACAAGAACTTGAAACTTTACAAGATTAGGGTAGTGATATAGAATTATTTGGAGGTGGACTTGCATATGTCAGAACAAATTATTTTACTTGTTATACTAGAATGGCTACATTTATGATCAGCAGCTTTTTATAGTTGCTAGGCAAATCAGAAGGGTATAAGATTAAAGTATAAAACCTGTTATTGGTTACTCTTATGAAGAAAAAGGAAGTTAAATATGCATCATTGCAATCATACAATTGTGACTATAATAGGGAACTAAATAATTACTGTCAATGTGTAGCTCAGTCTTCTTATGAGAAGCAAAATAACCCTTTCGCCTTTCCATAATCCTGAACTAGTTTATCCTTGTCCAAAGTGCATGCCATTAGACTGATTCAGTGAATTTCCAGATAAATACCTTTAGTGTGCTAGTTGAGGGTGCTAGTTAAACTACAGTACTAAAACTCAGTCTTTTCATTTGCAAAACTTATCAGCTTCAATGACAAATGCAATTCAGTTGATTTTAGGAATAGAGATGCATTTTGCTGATCAAACAGCTTACTAATTCAATTGCTGCTTTGCCTTCACACAATTGGCAAAAGCCAATCTTTCTTAACCAGTTCTTTTGATTCATTCTCTCTTCTGGGGTTTAGGTGGGGAGGTAAGTGTTAAATTAGTCTCCCTGCAATATGGTCCCTTCAACTTTCTTAATGATCTTTTAGGCAGAACCAATGAAGTGGAGATGAAAAATGAGATTTTGGAGAATGTGGGGAAAAGAGAAATCTTGCAGAATACTGAGCATGAGGAACACACAGAGGAGACTAAGGAGCAGGAAATTGTACAGGAATGTTCGGAGATAAAGACGCTTGCTGATGAAAATGCGGAGGCAGAGAAAATCAATGAAGGCAAAGTTTCACCAACGTTATTAAATAGTGGACTTGAGAAACCAGATAAAAGTCATTCCAAACATGTTCCAGAAATTTTTTATTCTCTTGAAAAGAGTGATGTAGTTGAACTTAGGGGTGAAAGGGGATCACTGGGTGATACTGTGGAAGTGGAAGAGTATGTTGGAAATAAAAATGTGGTAAATGCAGTTGGTAATCATAATAAAGTAGCAGGCCTGGGCATTGAGAGTAATCAAGAAATAATTATGGGTATAGAAATACTTCCCCAAGAGCAAAATAAAGAAAAGCAAACAGATATTGTGGTTGATGAGACAGAGGGCAATAATGATGAAATATTTGAGGAAGCCTTGGATTTTGTGAGTAACAGCCACATGGCAACTTCTAGTCAGTTAGAATCACCAGAACTGATGTCAAATATTGAACAGAACAAAATCGTTAAGGATGATTTGGATAGACAGCTTGATAAAGATGAGGGAGGCATTATAATAACTGATAAAACTGAGTGGGGTAAAAATGAGGTTGGTGGAATTAATGAAGAGAATGAGATGGCAAATGTAGTCCTGCAGCAGGAAATGGATGTAGTAGCCTTTGCAGTACAACTACCAGGAATGCCATGCACTGGGGAACAAAAACAAGTTGAAATTGAAGAAATCCAGGTTCTTTCTTCAAAGCATGATGCATTTGTTGAAGAGGAACAAGGTGAACAAGAAATGGAAACAAGAGAAGATAGTGTTGAAGACAGTCCTGTTAAAATGGCTGATCAGAGAGAAGCTTTGTTCAAAGCACTGGATCCAAATTTTGATTCTGAGAAATATGAGCAAAATGCCATAAAAGAGGTTCATACAGAAGAAAATGATGCTGAAGATGATTTAAGTGGATGTCTGAACCATGAGGAAAAGAATGTAAACCTTGAAGATGTTTCAGGGGAAACCAAATCTGAATTTATAGATGATTGCAAAGCCCTGGCAAATATACCAAAAATACATGAAGAAGCTGCTGATGACATTCATGAAGAAGACTATAATATGACAGAAGTTAGTGACTGGCCTACAGAAAAGCAGAGTGTAGACAAACAAGATGAAACTATTCAGGAATCAGCTATAACTGCAACTGTAATAACTGAGGATGTTGAAAAAGTATCCAAAGGGAATGAAGAGGAGAAGAATTATGGAAAGACAGAGGGTAAAGTTCTTAAAGTTTTGAGAGATACTGAGGAGGCAGCTTCTCTCTTGTCACAGAAGGCTGAATTCAGTGATCATGAGAAAGAGCTTGACAGTGAAGAAGCTGTGGAAGAATATCATGAAGCATTTGATTTTGAGGAATCTTTCTCTGGAGAACCTGAAATTACTAAAAGGAGTGATAATCAAGGTAATTTATCAGAGAACGATATTCACCAAACACAAGAGAAAGGTGGGGTTGAGAAAGGGGCAGAGCAAAACATAGTCAAAGAGGTATATGAAAAGGAATGTGAAGATAAAGAAAGAATTGTTAAAGATAAAAAGGAGAAAACCTACCATATCTCACCAGATGAGGTTGTGGATGATGCCGTGTTGACTGAAACTGAAAATATTCAGCAGTGGAAAGGAACAGAATTTGGAGAAGATGAACATTTTCAGACTGCTTCTTCTGTTTCTTCATCTTCAAAGGCACAATGTGAAATATTGGAAGACACAAATGCAGCTGTATTAGATCAAATTTATTCAAAACAAATGACAGAATCTACATCAGAGCAATTTGCAAAACATGAAAGTTCTGTTGATGAAGGCCAAGAGGAAGCCCTGGTAGGTAGGAAGGGTAAAGGTAAATCTCGGGAAGACTGTGTTATATCATAAACTCAGGTTGTTGCAGCAACTTATGCACCAGCCACCAGATAAGTTACAGAGCAAAAAGGGATATATATTAAAATGTCAAAGACACAATTCTTCGGCTTCTGATTCATTTGAAAAGAAGGGTAGATCTAGTACCATAATCTAAAGCAAGAGTGGGCACTGTGATGCCCTCCACATGTTTCAGACAAGAATCACCATAATCCCTTGCTGTTAGCCATACTGGCTGGGTCTGATGGGAGTTACAAATGTCTGCAGCATACAAGGTTGCTTTTTCTTGCTGTACAACTCATTAGCTGTATCAATACTGAACACATATGAAGGTTGTCTTACCTCTCAGATCGACTTAGTGTTTATCATAACAAAACAAAGCTATTAATTATACTAATATCTAATGAAGTACTTCTACTAAGTGAATATGGTATTTGATCTTTCCCATATTCAAATGAAAACTAAGATTTGAAAGTTGTTAGGAATTTATTATCTTTATGTTACATACTAATTGGCATTTGTCAGACACATTTATATTTGATTCAAGTTGTTACAAGCACCGCAGTTTCAGTATCCTTTTAAAATGCTGGTAATTTGCTGGAGTGATAAAATTGCACTTTAAACATATTTAACATTGACACATTCCAAATCAATGTCACCTCTGTTGCCAAAAGATAGATCAGTATAAGAATTTTGCTTAATGTAGAATTAGTGAACAAAACTTGTAAGTGGCTAATGGGAAAAAGTGTATGTTTCAGTCATTTCATACTGAAATCACTGAGTTAGTTCCAGAAAAAGACTGCACTTAGATTCCGCTGAAATCAGTGGGGCTCAAGCATAACAAATGTCATATTGATTTTAATGTTATTCAACCGACCTTATTTAACATTATCTATCTAGATAAATGTATATTATTTTTAAGAACATTTCAGATAACATTCTGCTTAACCTTTCTATCAGGAAATATCAAATGCAAATTATAACAGATCTCTTTTCTTAAGAGTTTATACTGCATGTTCTGTCCACCAACATATACAGATGCACCCAAAATATTATATATTAATAAATATTTTCTTACATTTAAAAAATTTACTTTTCTATCTCTGCTGCAATATAGGCTGATTTGAATGTCTCCTTCAATGCCTTAATCGTGATTTAAAACAATAAAATCACCAGTAACCGGCAACAGCTGTTTTATGCATAAAATGCCTACTTAACTTGCTGCCTTTAAACAAATAACAAACAATGTATAAATTGATTTGAATAAAGGCTAAAATATAAATGTTTCCTATGTATCACTATGTCATTTCTAAATGTGTACTAACTAGGAAGCATAAAGAAAGTGTTTTCGGCTAATAAAATAAGGGAAAAATGCAAACTGTTTGGAGAGCTATAGCAGTCTAACAAATACTAAACATGCTCCTTGTATACAAGTAAATAAAACATTAAAGTGGTACATTGTGTTGTTTATAATAAAAATTTTATATTCTCCACCCCGTTTGTAAAATGCCTCTCCCCTCTCTTTGTAAAGCTGCTTACAATTAAGCTTACTACTTGTAATGTTTTTATACAAATTTATTGCAATATTGATCTATCTGGCAGCAAACTGTTTTTATCTGTCCTCTTCTGCTTTCTTAGATGAGGCAGTTCTTCACAAAAAACAAAATCCCTGCTTTGTGCCAGCAGCATAGGGGGCTTTAAAATTAGTTAACTTTAAATTTACATAATTATACACTTTCTCTGAGAAAGAGGTTTCCAGGCTGTTATGAGCAGTAAAGAAACAGTACTCAGAAACTAGTAGACAAGATCCAGTGTGAAAAAGGAAAGGATTGAGAATTGGTTCCCTCAGTTCCAGAGAGATGGTATCCTTTCCTTCCTTGAAGAACAGCAAAGCTACAGCTTCTCATTCTTTTTGAATTTTATGTGCTTGCATTAAGGATATGTCTGAATTCTGGGGAATCTGGCAACTTTGGATGCAGAAGGCAGGTTTTGGGGACTGATTGCATATGCTAGGGCAGATTCCCATTGTAGACAAGGTTTCTAGGAAAGTAACTGTGAACATGCTTCTCAGTTAATGCTGGCATACTCATTCCACTCATGGAATTAAAGATAATGGGTTTATGCATATTTCTGTCAAGTATAATAGAAATACATGAATAGAATTGGCGATGATCTATTTTGTATGTCAGATACATAGCATCTCTGTAGGATGAGTTAGGTTAGCTTTGATCAAATATCTTGGTCAGTAGTGATAATTACATGGGTACCAGATGAAGTCAACTTTTTTAGCTTTGATATGGACAAAAGAATTCTACCCTCTAATCAGTCACTGAAAAACTAGGGATGACATAGAATTGATAGAATTGCAGCTTTCTGTGGTTGACAGAATTGCAGCTCTCATTGGTGGAAACTTAAGGGAAATTTATGCCTTGATCATTCCCATTCCAATGGTAATCATAATGGGTTGTTAATACTGTTCATCCTTACTGGTGCTCTGAGATAATTTCCTGAAGAATAACCACCCTGAATCTTGATTTATGACACTTCCATATTTTGAAAGTAGTTTATGCTGCAAGGCGAGACAGGAGACTAGGAAAGAACTTCAGGGAAAAGAATAATAGTATTTCTACTCTCACAAAATATGACAGAGAATACTGACCAATGACTTGCCTTTAATTGGTTTTGCCTTGAATAAGTTATATCTAACTGGAGTGATAATGAGCAAACTTACCTTCCATTGGTTCTTAGCTCTGCCTGCTAACTGTTCCCTGAAATGTGAAAAAGATAATTCTGCCTCTGGAACAAGCTCAGGAGAATTCCGGAGATATCCTAATGCTTCCACAGTCATAATCAGTAGTTTTCTTTTTAATGTTTATTTTAAGTGGTGGTGATTATAGCACAGAAGTTTGAAGTTCCCAGACATTTTTGAGCAAATGTATAAACTGATATTGTGCAATTTAATTCTCATTGAATTCACCATATCACCAGGTCAGAAAAACACTTTCAAAGTCTAAAAAATGTTTGTCTAATTATCACTAAAGTTACATTTTCCATTCAAGAGGCTTAGTTCTATTTCCACTTTTTATGAAAATTGTCATTTAGTTACACTTTCCTAAATTATTTTAAGCTGTTTAATCATTTTCTGTTCTACAAAAGTATATTTCATACTTGAAAGCTTTGCAATCCTATGTAAACTTTATTTTTATCTTTTAAGACTTACTTGTACTATGATGATAAGGGCTTAGTCCTTCAGAGTTTATAACCTATATATATGAAGTAAAACATGGATTTACAGTTTCAACAGTGCTGTTAAAATGAGATAGCGGAGTTGTAGTGTGCAGCACCAGGAGAACAGATTTCCCCTGCATACTCTCAATTTGTCACAGAGTGTTGGGAGAACTTTGAGGGAAATTGGGAGTGAAGAGAGGGGATTCCTGTTGCACTAAAGGAAGTCCATTGCATGACATTTGTTTTTACCCATTATTACAGTCCATTTGCGCTAAGCATGTCTAGCTTAGCAAAAATGCATAGGGAGCTCTGCACAGCAAGTAACACTGAACGTCCTCTTGCAATATCCCATTAATGCCTTCATTATTTCAAAAAGTAACTTGCACTTGGTGCAGTGGAGGAGCGGAGTACCAGGGCATGAGTCAGCTAGTAGCTGAGGTGAATAAAGAGGGAAAATAGCTGTGGATGTCCATATGAGATCATTTGAGTATATTAAAAGAGCAGGACTGGGACTCAGGAGTTTTGGGTTCTACTCCTCACTCAGCCATGGAGGCAGTTGGGTGACTTTGGGCCGGTCACAGACTCTAAGCCCAACCTGCCTCACAGAATTGTTGTGGGGAAAAGACTGAGAGCAGGAGGAGAATGATGTAAGCGGCTTTGAGTTCTTTTTTAAAAGGATATAAATAAATGCATAAATAAATACAGACAATGAAAAAGTAGTGATCATTGGCATACTATATAATTACTTTCTACAGTGGGTAACTTTGTTTCATATGAGAGAATAGAATGCATGCTTGTTTTAGAATTCTAGATTTTAAGTTTTTTTTTCATTAAGAATTTGCTTTTCAAGTTTAGAAGTGTACTAGAAAATTGGGATGCAAATCTTCTTAAAGTTCACCTTTGTCAATCTGGAAATATCTTAATCCACCTCATACTTAATACATATTAATTTAAACAGTAGAGGTATTTAAAATGTGTGGCTCATTGTAACAGTGTTTTTATTATGTTTTTGTAATGCTGTTAAAACTATAAAGATTTGTGAGATTTTTGTATTCCAGTGTTTGACCCTAGAATTCTTGCATGCTACCCTACAGTAGAAGATTAGCCACTTTGCATGCAGCTGGGTGCTTCTACTGAAGTTACAAGCATGCTTTGTGAAACTGGCATAACCTCCCTTGGCTGAAACCCTTTCCCAGTCCTGTTTGTGACCTCATTTACCATGGTACGTGCATAACTACATTTATCATCAGTTCCACTAACCATCATTCTCTGTTTTTAAAATAAAATACATTCTTTGGCATCTTTCACTTAACAATATCAACACACAGTATTTCATGTCTCTTTTTTTGTAGATGTTAAATTGAAAAAACTTGTTGATGAACGAGAATCTTTACTTGAACAGGTAATCAAAGATTTACTGCTTGCTATATTAATCATTTTGGATATTGCAAGTTGATTCCTTACGTATTAGAGCTAGTTTAGAAGATCACATTTTCACGTGATTATTTGGATTATATGAAGTAGTTCTACAGAGGCAAAGTATATGATTGTAGGCACCTTCCAAAGAGATTTTTGCACTTCTCCGTGAAGGACTACTACTCCCATGTCATGCATATCAAGTGTGCTTGCCCTTTGAAAAACACATGCAAGCCAATATTGGAAAGGGTTGGACCCTGAAAAATGCACATATAAATCATATTTGATGACATGCATACCAGAATATAAAATATATGTTTGAAGAAGCCCTCTTCACAATTACAAAATGCAGTTTTTCATTTAAATGCATTCTCTAAACATAAGTATAGACTGTTCAGTTGTGGGGAGGAAGCCAGTGGCATGCCTTAAGCTCTCATCTTGTGCCTTGAACAGTGGGACCAAACTGTTAAGTTATAAATGTCCTGTGCATTCATCATTCCACAATCTGTAGTTAATGTATTAATTTGGGTTCTCCAAAATATTTGCTTTATTTTTAATATAAGCATTTTTATTTAAAAAATTATAGGATTTTTAGGTGTCATCATTTGTGAAAATGCCAGCAACATTGGCACTTTCTATTCCTGCATGATCAATAATCTTCTTCTCTCTTTCACATTACTTATAATCTCTTTTTCTGCCATAACATATTTCCTTACAAAAATAATTCAAATCCTACAGATACAAATAATAGTTTGGAAAATGTCAGCTGGGCAAGAATATGGGAGTAGGGGGAGGATATTTCCACAAAGCATAAGTCCCTTATTGTAGTACTAATTAATCTTTGGTTTGTTTCTCAGTGAACTGATTCTTTTTCTTTTTTGTGGTTTTCAGATTAAAAAATTAAAAGCACAACTGGAAGAAAAACAGAATAGTAAACTTGAAAATGTACATTTGGAAGATGGAATCCTAGAAAATGGCACAGAGATCCATGTGATTGATCTCCAAAGTAAGGTCCATTTACTGGTTGAAGACTCTACAGTCAACTGCCAATGAAAGTCATTGATCTCCTTACACAGTGAAAATATAACAAATAGGACTTAAACTGTTCTCTCCATATGTTACATATTACCCTTTTACTTATTTCCTCCTCCCCTGATCTGTCACCCTGAATACTTGTTGCTTGAGCAGGCTGTTGCAAACTGAGCCAAGGAATGGAACTTCTACTCTAAAATGGAATTGAATGGGCAGTCATGATCCTTTCTTCAGTTATCAACACATGTGGACAGGACTGCCGACTGCAGGCTCATAATTTTATTTATGTTATGAACACAGGTGTCCAGGGATTCATATTAGGGAGACAGTTTGATAAATGTTTACCAACTTGAAAGAAAATAGCATTGATTTTTCAGCTGGTGACTCTAGCACCAATTACTTACTCTCCATGAGGAGCTTGTTAGGTTTCCTGTTCCTTATAATGTAATAATATTTTTTAAAAGACAGAAGTTTTCCTTCTAGGATCAAAATGGGATATCAACAGAGATAACAGAAAAATTAAATCAAGATGTATTTTCTACTTGGAGAAGGGAGAGTACAGTTCACTACATACAAGAAACCTCAGGTTATCAGTAGGAAAGTGGTATCTGAACAAACCAATATATTTTTAGACTAAATACATTCTATTTATTTTAAAATTTTTGAATGTTTTGGGGTGTAACTCTTTTCTGAATTGTTTTGATGACAGACACATTTTTAAAATTTTCTTTAGGAGATGCAAATAGACAAATCAGTGACCTCAAATTTAAGCTTGCAAAGTCTGAACAGGAGATTACAGCACTGGAACAGAATGTAA